GTTAACGTTGCTTGTTAGTTATCAAAATCTTATGGGGAACAAATTTGTCTTACTTCAGTTTTGTTTAAAAAAGATTCTACATATTTTTTATTTTGAAATGTTGGCTTCAAGAATATTACTTTTAAGTTGTTGGTTTCAAAAAAGTCTTGATATGTTCTTTTATTGTTATTATTTATAAAAGACTTCCATGACGAAAAGGAAAAAATATCATAACTTTAAAAATGACATTCTCAAAGTTAAAAAGACTAAAATTCTCTTGCCAAAATAAACTTAATCAGATCACAAAAAATTTACCACAATAAATAATATTATTTGAGAAATGGAAGGAAAAATTTATACTGTTCCTAAAAATAACATTAGAAACAATATGTATTTTCAAAAAGAAAATTAACTGTACTTAAAAAAATGTACTAAAAAATTGCTATACTAAAATTGTTACATAAATAATAACAAGGAGTGTGTTGAAGCAAAGAAAACAATTTTCTATCTTTACAATCTATTTACAATATTTAGTAACATATACATGAGATTTAAGAGAAATGTTGAGAATATATACAGAAACTTTGAGAATATATACGCTGCTGATTCTATTGAATATACTGATTTTAAAAAAGTTTCACAAAATTTAGATGAGTGAATAAACAAAAGAAATCAAAGTAACTGTTTATTTTCTTGTTGTTTATAGGAAAAAGTTTTAAGGCATAACGTAACACACTGATTTTCACTATCTGATATTAAATAAATATAGATAGAGAAATATTGCTGAAAAAAAGACATCTTACATATGCTTATATACAATTATGTATCTAATAACATAATACTTTTCCTATTTGTGTATTTTTGAAATGACAAAAGCAAGAGTGTTGAAATTGCAGATTGAACCCTAAATTGTGTACAGCCTATATCTTTATTTATACCTTTAAATTGTGTTCAGTCTATATGCATTTCAGTTTGAGGGTGACCATTCTTGAAAAATATTTTAGGAAATCGTTTTTAATAAATAGGATAATTTCAATGAAGGTCAGCTTTTTATTTAAAAACTTTGGCATATAAAATTCGCCCAACGGTCGCACACGAGCAGTGATCGCCTGAGAGAAGAAATGAAGTACATTAGAATAAAGGAGAATAATTTATTAGACAAAGCTTATTTTGACAGTTGTCAAAACAAAAATAAAGATTAATAGAGGAATATTTAAAAATACACAAGACAGGCTATACACCCAAAACAGTACTTAACAATAATAACAATAAAAAATAAATAAATAAATTGTTTTATAAACACCAATATGAACATTTAAAAATAATAAAAATTAGTTGGTATGACCCGTACGATACGGGTCGTGCCAAGTCTAATTCACATCCGACAATTTCAAAAACTTGTTCCTTAGTCTTTATACTTTAATTTATTTAGTAAACTGCACAAAATAAATCAATTTTAAGTTCTGGTAGATGGTAAAATACGAATTTTAATTGCAATTACAATTAAAGTTTGCATTTTTCCACCTACCAGATGGTAAAATGCAAACTCTTAAGAAAATTAAATCGAACTTTAATTGCTCGTTAAATTATAATTAATTTATAAGAAAAGTCTAATTTAAATAAAATATATCTGATACCAATATAATTAATTTAAAAAACCGATGAGGAAATGTTTTTAATATAATGACTGTTGTGGTCATTAAAATGTTTTGGTTCGCTAAAAAGTACACAGTTTGCATTTTACTGACTATCTACAGTTCTTGATTTCTAATTTACTGTTCTTTAGAACTAGGGTTAGGACTATTGTTATTGTTATTGTAAAAATGAAATACAATAACAATTACAATACAATAATATTGTATTGCAATACCAGAGATGCAATTAAAACATTATTTATGGTTATTGTATTGCTGTGAATAAAAACAGTTACAATAACTATTGTATTCTTTTTTTTTCTAACAATACATTGAAGCTCTAAAACTATTGTATTGCATTGCTGTGATGTAAAACAATTACAATAACTATTGTATTGTATTGCTGGGATCAAAAAAATTACAACAAGTACATTGATGTATTGTATTACTACTTCAAAGTCTAATAGCTATTGTATTTTATAGTATTTAGACTCTTTTTTCACGCATTTATTATTATTTGGGCACTAGATAATTTAGGGGTGCCTGTAACGCTCGTTTTCAGCAGTCATTTATATATATAAATTTTGTTTATTTTCAGAAGTGAAGTAAAGCCAGGGAAGTATATATACTACGTATACTTAATATCTGTCAGGGCTAAAGAAATAAAAGAATACACAAAAAAACTGCAATATTATCAGATTCACTAATAACTACACAGTTTGATGGAAACATAGTTACTGAGTTAACAAAGGGAAGGCAATTTAAAAAAGATAGAATTGCAGTTTTAATAAGGATTGATGCGAAAACAGAACTATTTGGCATTTCTCAATAGGGTCTAGTTCAGGGGTTAATCAAAAGCAAGCTGTTTTTAAATTTAATCCAAAAAATTCAATCAGTTGTAGAATTGATGGAAGTTTTTGGATTAAAGGATAAGGTTAAATGTCTCTGTTTAATCTCATGCAAGGTACTTGCATGAGATTAAACATACTTGATTGCATGTAGACATCATGTAATTGGGAGACACATAGCCCATTTCTGGAAGATTTACCTAAGTAAATCTTAAAATTACCCAAGTAAATCTTAAAATCTTAAATTTCTGGTCCAGAAAACAAACTATTTGAATTTTTAAATCAAAACTGCAATAAAATAGATGCTGAAACTAAAAAGGAACTAAAAAGTATAGTATAACCACCTGGAGCATAGATGTATAATTAAAAACTAGCTGGCAAACATAAAGAAGTAATAACTAATATGGTTTTGTTTGAATACAGAGTGGTTTCTAAAAGCAGAGTTAAGTTTTTTGGCACCGACACATGTATCAGTCTTTTAGTATTTTTTTATTATTGATTAAAATAATTCAAAATGTTAATCAATATTGTTTATTAGGATATGAAAGCTTACTGAAAAATAAAAAGGTTTGAGGTATGAAACCTACTTGGCTCCCAAGCTGTTGCAAGCTCTATTCTCAGACATACTCGCAGACGAGCCTCCTAGTTTGACTCTATTAATAACAGAATAGTCGTGACTAGTTTTTGACATGCTTAGGCATGGAAAGGCAGAAACTCAATGGATGAAGACTCCACCAGATTTTTGGAAATTCAACGATTTTTATCAAGAATTTAAAACAACAGTTAAGAGACTTGATGTTCTTAATGACTGTTAAGTTTGTTAGACCTAATAAAGAGAACATAGTCTGAGGAAAAAAGGAAGGAAACCTTTCTCTTTAAAAATAGTTACAAGAAAACAGAAACAGGAAGAATAAAATAGATTACGAAAAAGTCCCTAGTGCAAACACAAATAAAGTCTAGTTTCTTATGTACATTTTTTTGTTAATATCACTTCTTCAAGAAACAATAAAAAATTCATACATTAACTGGGATTGCTGTATTTTAATTTAAATGAAACTTTACTATTGAATTGAAATTTTTATATAATTTAATAATTTTTGTTAATATCTTTTTTTTCTTGTCCAGACCCTCTCTTTTTATATTTCCGAGAATAGTTCCTGAAGCTGATTATAAGTTAGAAATCAATATTGTACTGTATCAAAAGTAAAAAAAAATAATAATGCACTTTTATGAGTTTCAAGAAAATTTTAAGAATACTTTGAATTTTTAAGAGCTTTTCTAAATATTTATGGATTTTAGGGTTTTTTGAAACAATTTTCTTGATTTTTTAATTTTTTTTTAGAGAGTAGATTCTATTTTATTTATATTAAGTCTTAACAAACACAAGTATAAAAAATATAAACTAAAAATTTTAATGTCAAAACTTCCTACACAGTTTTAAAAATAGTACAAAACACCGTAAAAGTTGACTCTTTTACTTCCCTAAAGGAACCCTTAACTCTTTCAAAAATTAAAAAATTTTTTTTTTTGGTAATATATTATGGTTCGTAAAGATAATAGACTAGGGTTCTTTTTTATGGAGACATGACCCTTTTTTTTGTTAAATAATAATAAACATCATGGTATTGAACTGATGGCCATTCAGTTGAGTCATCTTTCCAAGAATTTGCATGGAACTTTTACGGACAAAGGTTGATTCAAAGGACTGCAAGTTTGTTTATATACTTTTTAGCGGCGTTAAAATCTAGTCTCTAGTCAAATTATTCATAAACTGACGTTTCTTTTTTTAAACTCTTTAATTCACTTTTGCGTATTTTTGCGATTTCTCTTGCTTTATTAACTCAATTATTCATCCATTCCTCTTCCTTCCTCATTCAAGATAGTAACGATTTGCGCTATTGAAATTTTGCATAACCTCGTGGCCTTTCGATTGCGAGGATATAGTGTTTTTTAAATTGCAGTGGAATTTTATAAATTTTTTTATCACTGAAATAATTAAATGCTATGGAGACGCATGTGTTTCCAAGTAACTAAATTAGAAAAAAGACTACTAGCTTTACGCTCTTTCAAAAAATAAGACACGCATTAATCTTCCTTTAAAAATGCTCAAACCGCTTATCATTAAAAATAAAATTAAATGAAACATTTCTATATTTTCTAGATGTTTTTTTTACAATTATAACAAATAAAAATGAAGATTATGTAGAATACTTCAAGAAGTTTTACTTGATTTTATGTTGAATATGCTTATTGCTTAACGTATTGATTAAACGAGATATTTTTTAATCTTTAAAGTATTTATTCATATGAATCTTTATTGGTATTTTTGTTTGAGTGGAAACTCATTCCGCTTTACCATGATATTTTGGTAAGCGGAATGAGTGAAAACTCATTGCGCTTATTAAGTGGTTTTTTATTCACATGATTAATAAATGACAAACAGGCTGACAAACTAAAAAAAATATATGCATTAAATTTGAAAACGAAATTCAATTATTCTAAAAAATGAAACTCAAAGTATTTAAAATTTAAAATATACCTATATTGAACCGAAAGAGATGAGATAATTTTTCTTTTTCTCAAGTAAAAAAGTAGAAAAAAATATATTCGTAAAACTGTTTTTCAACACTCAAACGTATTTAAAGCGTACGTCTTTAACTTTGTATAAAAAGAAAGAGATCAAGTATCTGCAAGGACGTATTAAAAGATGGACGTTTAACTAATTGTTTAAAAGCCAAGATATTAGCGCTTTCAATTGTTATAAATAACATTAGGAAAACAATAGAAAACATTATTTTTATACAAATTTTTTTGTTTAAATGCCTCATTTATTCAATTATATAAAAATAAGTTTTTATGTTAAGTACTGCGATTAATATATTTTACTATTTAAAAAAAAAAAATTCTGTATAAACAATTTTCCTTGCATAACCAGGCTTGGACTGGACCGATTGGATACTGCGAGATTCCCGGTTGGCCGGTTGCCATAAAAAAAATTATCATATTTTTAGTTAGGCAACATTTTATTTTCAGTTGATTATTATAATCAACGAAAAATTAAAATGTAACTAGTAATATAATAACTTTCTGACCTACATAAGACTATAGCCTATTATAAGCTAGAAAAAAAGTTATTATATTTAGTGCCAATATATAAACTTTAAAAAAGCTATTTTATTTTGTGTTTATTTTATAAATTTTAGCGGCCATCTTGATCGCATCAAAAGTAGTAGTATATTAATGTTATTATATATTTTTTTTTTAGGTGCCCCAAGAAATCCTTACGTTCATGCTTTGTGGTCATGAGGTCTTATCATAGAGCACCGCGGAAGAACATTTAACTTTAAAATTAATTTAGTTTATTTCCGGCATGCATACTTTACCCTACAGATGAATGAAACAAAAAAGAGGTGCTGAGAAAGAAAAAAAAAAAAAATTAAATACGTACAGATAACGTAGCCCAAAAATATAAAAAGTTAACGAATTTTTTTGCAACATTTTTCTGACAAAAATGTGACTAGGTCATATTTTTGTTAAAAAAGACTTATAATAAAGTCATTGATGTAATAGTAACATCTTTAACCGGCATAATGGTGGAAGAGAACATAAATGAGAGTTCATATTGATAACACACAAGATATTAATGTACAGGATCAGTACTAGGGATGGCACTTTTACTTATTTTGATGTAAAAAAGCGTGAATTACTTTACATAATTTATATAAAAATAAATAACTTATTTACATTTAAAAGTAATTCGGGTTTTTTTTACATAAATTATATAACGTGTAAAACTTAATTACTTAAGTTAAGTTTTTTAAATGAGTAATTGTTACTTGAAAAAGTAATTTACTTTTACAAGTAAAAGTTATTTGCATTTTTACTTTTACTTGTAAAAGCAAAGAGATACTATCTCTTATCTTAAGAGATACTATCTCTTATCTCTTTGGTTACAGAAAAAAATTTTTTCAAAAAAATAAAAAAAAGCAAAATAAAGGCAAATTTAAATAAAAATATATATACATACACTACTACAAACAATATTAAAGGCTATACTCAAAGCGCTTAATGCAAGTTTTCATATTTTTTTACTCGCTTGTTCTCTGTGGCAACAAACACACAAATTTTCCAGTTTACAGCATATTTACTAGGATGAGTTAGTGATTTAACATAATTAAGATATATTATGGTCTGGCGATCCCCGCGAAAGGCATTACGAGTGGCGACTTGCCAAACAGGGTCTAGCTGTGTCCCGTAGGTGCTTGAGAGTGACAATGTCATGTCGATGGTTGATATTGGAGGTAGGCCCTCTGTCTCTAATAAAGCATTTGAGGCGTTAGGATGGATTGCTCTCGAGAACTATACGAGCATTGTAGATGAGTCAACGCCACTCGTAACAGACTTCAGGGGTGATGACACCGTTTCTACGGCAGACCACGTACTGAGTGGTGATTTGAATCTCGATTGCCTCGTAGTACCAGACGAGCCGGTCGGAGGGTCTCTAGAAACCTGGGTGGAGTGGAAGGATGGGGTTCGGGCACAGATTCTGAGTGAAATTGACGCGTCTCGTCGGATCCTTAAAACCGAAATTGACCTCTTCTATGAGAAGATTAGACGCGCTAACTCAAACCGCCTACAGGACATCGATAAGGGCAGATTCGAGTTGGTCGACGACAAGCTTGTCTTCAGAGGGAAATCGGACGGGGCTATACAGCTCACCTCGAACAGAGGCCACACCCTAAAATTACTAGCCCGAGTCCCAGGCAACACTTTACGTGATATGGAGCTCTTGTTTCGACTGAAGCCAGCTTTCATAGCCGAGATTCTCAACATAGACTATAAGGAGCTAGGCACACTCAACTAGGCAGTCAACGCTGATATTTGAGCTTCAACTAGCGGGGAGGCTGTTTCAGCACTGCTAGGCCGCGTTATAAAAGCCGTAGCTATACTCATGGATAACTCCTCTAACATCTAACCTGACATGAAGCAAGATCTAAAAACTACAGGGGAAACTCGTGTTAATCTCCGCACAGCCATCGACAAGGCTGTCATAAAACAGCGAATTGCTGAGCAGGAAATTGCAAGGCTTGAAGGCAAGGTTGAAATCCTCAAGGAGCTTGAGCAGAAAAATCCTGGCTTGTTGAAAGATAGTTTAAATAACGAACAACAGAATCTGGCTAGGGCTAAGCAGGCGCTTGACGCGGAGACCTCAAAGCTGGCAGACCTCAAGAGGTTGCTCAGAGGACTGTTTGCTGCTATCCGCGATATCCTGGCTTGACTAAAGGGAGACAGACTCTTATGTTAGACCAAAAATGGCTAGCTAGTCATAAAATGGTGGCAGTCAACGGATCTGATGGCTCCGACCCGCTTGAGCATTTCCAAATAACAATCATAGGAGAGGGGCAATATCTTGGTTATCCCAGACTAACTAACAAGCCTCCAACAAGCAGCTACCTTGGAGCTACCTCCAGCGACGGCAGCTACCTTGGAGGAAAGACTCATTACTACCCAAACCCTGTGTACAAAACGAAATTGTTGTACAAACCCAAGGCACTACTACCGTTGATTATTCTTTATCTGGACAACGTAAAAATGACCGAGCAGCCACCCGGGTTTCAAGAAATGGGGCCTCGCGATGCCCTATAACGATCGCCGATATCGAAACTCTATACATATACGTCAACGCACGCTTCTCGTTTAAAGCTCTCCATAAAAGTGCGCTCTTATTGTACGTCTTCAAAAATATGTATCGACCTGAAAACTGGGTTGAACCGTCCGACGTCGTTGCTTACACTACTATGCTTAACTTCACGGTCAGTGTAGCAATAGAGAGCTGTGGGATCTCGACTCTTATTATGTACTGCATAGATCCTTATATGCTCGCCTTATACAGGTTTTATGTCTATTATTGGGTCCAGAGAATCTTCTGGTGTCTGGGCGTTGCCCTCCCTAACGGGACGTACTTTTACCCGTGGAAAACGAACGTCGACCCTGCGGCTCTCGAGCAACTCAAGAACGAATTTCAGATGCCGACTGACCTAGGCCTACAGACCTGGGTTGTTAAATACGACCTCCTCCGATTCGTATAGGATGGGAAGACAGGCGACTACTCTACTCTGAACCAGTCAGCCGGTATGATCCCCAAGAGCACTGACGGTCTCTCCGCAGCCGGTTTTAGGGCTCTGTCCAAGTCTGTCAGAGGTTATGCAGTGTGTCGGGGCACTATTGTTGGCAGCAGCGCAGCAGCTCTGGATGCCCAAGCTGAGTTTGTCAATGCTGTTGAGAGTTACGACATATGGCCAAAAGACTTTGCGGATGATATTTTTTTTTTTTTTAATACTTTATTACAATCATTATTACAGTTTATATTATAACTTTATGTGAGTAAAACGTAAGACATAAAATAAAAAAGAAATAAATTATATTTACAAAAAAGATTTCTTTAACAATAGAAATATAACAATAAATATAACAATAAAAATTAGGAATAAAGAATGCGGAAACTCGGAGCAGTCTTTGAGGTCTTGTAGTACTCAGGTTGTTTAAGGCCAGTCTCGGGTTTATTTCGATTATCTGCGGGTGACGTAATAATTTATTGTTCAGTTCTCGCGGGATAATTTTAAAACTTTGTTTTTAAATATAGCGGTGACTTCTAGACTTAAAAAGCCCGACAAGAAAGTTTTTTCAGCAATTATTAATTTTTGAAATTTTTTTTTTTTTTTTTTTTTTATTGTTCTTTTATCTTTATAATGTTGTGATTCTACATGATTGGTACAAAGTTATATGTTTTTAAAATATATAATACTAAAAATAAATCACAAGTTTATAGAATACAAAAAATATGATTGGAGGGTATCATTAATATTAAAAGAACGCGGAAACTTGCAGAAGACCAGATGGTCTTGTCATTAAGAAACCGCTTGTACTTGTAATATTTTTTGTATTTTTGTTTTACAATGTATCAAGTTTCACAAAATACTTCATTTTATATTAGGTTCACATATAATAAAATGTAGAAATAAAAATTTGGTAAATACTGTTTGTAGTACACATAATACACATAAATATATTATTAAGCATAAATATAATTATTATTGACTTATATTGATTTTTTATATTAATATATATTATTGAAGTTTTTTGGATTTTGTTTTCAATTATAATTTTGGTTTTACTTTCAGTTTTAGTTTAGTGAAAGTTTAAATAATTGCTGATATTTAAAACAAACTTTTTTAGCAAGATTTTCAAACAATTTATGTTATCTAATTTTGTAATAATGGCATTTTTGGATATCAGTTTATTATAAAGATAGGGACCGCGAAACGAAATTGTGAAACGCGACAGTTTTGTTTTTCTGAATGGTACATTAAAGTTTCCTACTTCTCTAGTGTCATATCTATTTTTTTTTGCTTTTAAAAAATTCATTTAAGAAGTGTGGTGGGACAAGCCCGAGTTTATATTTTAGCATGAAGAGTAAGTTTTGGTAAATGTTAATTCTATAGACGTTTAGTGCATTTAGGAGTTTAAACAAAGATTCAGCATGAGTGAGTTTATCTTTTTTATAGACAATTCTAATGGCATGTTTTTGATGTTGATAAAGTGATTTTAAATTAGATTTATGGGTACTGGCCCATGCTATATTACCATATGTATAATAGGTATGTATAAATGAAAAATAAAGATGTTTTAGATTTTCTTGAGATAACATTGGCCTAGCTTTGTATAGCACGCCAATGTTTTTGGTTATTTTAGTATTTAAATAGTCAATATGGGCGTTCCATGATATATTTTGATCAATAAGTAAACCTAGGAATTTAGTTGTTGTGGTTCTTTCGATATTTTTGTTTTTTGTTCTTAGCAATGGCAATATATTTGGTAGTTTTTTTCTTTTTTGATTTGGATGGAATAAGATGTAATTAGTTTTTTCTGTGTTTAAAGATAGTTTATTAGATTTTAGCCCATTATTAAGTTTTTCGAGTTAATATTCGTTGTTTCAAAAAGTTCTGTAATTGACGGCGATGAATAAAATAAATTAGTGTCATCTGCAAACATTATGACATCAAGTTTGTTTGAGGCTTTCGGAAGATCATTAATGTATATTAAAAACAGTAAGGGAGCTAGAATGGAACCTTAGGGAACGCCACATTTGATCTTTAGCATTTTTGAACAGATATTTTCATCAGTATTTAAACATTGTTGTCTGTTTAGCAAAAAGTTTTTAAACCAAAGTAATGCAACATTTTTTACGCCATATTTTTCCATTTTTTTGAGCAGGATTTCATGATCAACAGTATCGAATGCTTTTGATAGATCTATAAAGATTCCTAGAACAAATTCATTATTATCAAATGAGTAGTTGATGCTATTTACAAGATCTATGATTGCATGTTCGGTTGCATGTTGTTTTTGAAATCCAAACTGTTTTTTATTTAAGATGTTATTGTTTGTTAAATATATGTACAGTTTATTATAAATTATTCGTTCGAGAAGTTTTGAGAATACAGGAAGGATTGAGATTGGTCTATAGTTGTTTAGTAAATATGGTTCTCTAGTTTTATATATAGGTACAATATTTGCAATTTTTGAATTTCTCTGGAACGGTTCCTGTTATAATTGAAGATTTAAATATTTCGAAGAGGGGTTTTTTTATTATCGGAAAGATATTTATTACTACATTGCTACAAATTTCATCAATTCCTGGTGCTTTGTTGATTTTTAAAGAGTTTTTTGCATTTTCAAGTTCTTCATAGCTTAGTCCATTGAAAATTAGTTCGCTATTTAGATCTGTGAGGTAGTTTTCAAAGGAGTCATTTGTAGTTAAAATTTTAGACGCCATGTTTGGTCCTATGTTTGCAAAAAAAATTTTAAAGTGTTCGGCAATTGAGTTCTTATCATTGTGTTCGGTTTCATTTATAATGATTCTATCTGGTAAACTATTTGTTTTTTTGTTTTTTTTCCCGATTATTTCTTTCATAATGTTCCATGTTTTTTTCATGTCTCCATTTGTTTTTTTAAGTAATTTAGAGTAGTAAATTTTTTTAGAATGTTTTTTGATTTTTTCGAAAAGATTTTTGTATTGTTTATAAGTAGATAGGTTAATCTCATTTCTGTTTTTCAAATATTTAACGTATAGTTTTTGTTTTGTTTTTGAAGATTTTTTAATACCGCTGGTGATCCATGGACAGCTCAAATATTTTACTTTGATTTCTTTTTCTTTGATTGGAAAATGATTATTGTAGTGCTTTAGAAAAATATCTGTAAAAGTATTATATGCAGAGTTTGTGTTCCCAAGGTTACATTCTTGATACACTTTAACCCAATCTACTGCCGATAGTGTGTCTTTAAAATTTTGAATTGAAAATTTATTTATTTTTCTTTTATAAGTTATTTTTTTCAAATTATTATTTACTCTTGTATTATTTTTTATTGTAAAGTAAATTGGAAAATGATCTGTTATATCAATTTTTACTATTCCTGCTTTTAAGGAGGTATCTAGAAATGAGTTTGTTAGTATGTTATCTATGGCAGAAATAGAATTTAAAGTTACCTGTGTCGGTTTATTAATAATTGGTAAAATACAATGTTGAAACATGTTATCAAAAAATAATTTAGTAATCGGAAACTCATTGTATTTTAAACAATCTATGTTGAGGTCCCCAATACAGAATAACTTTTTTTGTTCTTTATTGATTTTGAGAAAAATTTCTTCTAGATATTTAGAAAAAGTTTTAATATTACCTTCTATGGTGGTCTATAACAGGTAGAAACAATAATATTTTTAAACTTGGAGTTTATGATTTCTATTGTAAAGACCTCACTATCGGCATTAGAAATGGAGTGGTCTTTTCTTACTTTTATTGCTTGATCATTCCGAACATAAGTTGCAATCCCTCCTCCTTTTTTGCATGTTTTTCTTTCAGAAGATATTAATTTATAATTGGGAATTTGAAAGTTAATGTTATTTTGGATTGATTCGTCAGAACACCAAGTTTCTGTTAGACAAATCATACTAAATAAGTAATTACAATCAATTAGGAAGTGCTTAAGTTTGTCAAAATTTTTATTTATGCTTCATATATTTATGTGAATTACTGTAAAATTATTTTTAATAGTTTCAAGTTCAGTTTTAAAAGTTTCAGTTTTAACATATCGAGAATCAAAATTATTTATTTGAAATATATATCATGAGTTCATAACATGCTATGAATTATCATATAATGCAATGAGTTCATAACAATCCATATTATTTATTGTTCAAATTATTAAAAATATTAATCTACCCGACAAATTAATTCTGTTGTTACGACCCATCAAAAAGCCATTAAATACAAACCGTTAATTACCAAATTTCCGATATTTTAGAGCTTTTTGTTGTAAGAAATGACAAAACGTCGGATTTTCTGCCTGACCTTCTAGATCAAATTATGGATTAATGGTAGAATACAATATCAATGTCATTTAGGTTGCATATAACTAAAAAAGTTGTACTAACAATTTAATTGCTTATTTTATCATATCTTCATCTTTTAGTTAAAGGACAATTTAAGCCAACCTCCATATTGTCGTCAATAATAATTTTTTTAACTTTGTACCACTTTTGCTAATTATTATTCAGTTAAGACAACAACTTTTCAAAAAAAAAATTTATTTAAAAGAAATGTCGAGAAGGTAAGTCGAACTGCCTTAAAAATTTGGACTGGCCTTAAACAACCTGTAGCCTTATTCACGTCTCTCCGTTAAATTAACGAAGAGTTCAAGTGACCGTTAAGAAAAAAATTGTTAACGGGCCGTTACGAAACGGATGGAGAAAAATAGTATTCTTTTCCTTCCGTTAAGTCACCGATTAATACCCGCTCCGTTAACTTTGTCAGTTAAATTTCTTCCGTTAGCCCGCTTCGTTAGCTAACTTTCGTGCTGTTTTTTACAAAACATCCAAATGTTACGATGCCAACTGGCACATAATATTGTTTAGATGGTACATCACAGCGTGATTTTTTTAAATGTTTGCTGCGTAATTTTTTAAACTTAATTTAAACAAGTTAAAGTAATAAGCCGTTTTAGGACTTGTACTAAGGACTAATAACCGTTTTAGACTTGTACTAAGTACTGATTTTTTATATTTTTAAATTAAACTTTTTATATTTTTAGAGTTAAAAAATATATAAACACCATCAAAAAAATTGAATTGGAGCTACATAAAACTATGAAATGGAGTTACTCTATACAACTCTATCGCTCTATCACAAATTAACAACAAATACAAAATTAATAAACCATTTATTATTATAAAAAAGGAATTTGAAAATGAGTAAATTTATTTAGATAAAATATGTTCAAAAATGTCGCAAAGCAAAATCATCACGAAATTGGAAATTGTTTTCAGCTACTATATCTTCATTATCATTTTCATCATTTTCGATTGGATTTTCATCCATGTCTCCATCATTTAACTGTATTACTAAATTGTGCAATACTGCGCACGCAGCAACTAAGGTACATGTTCTTTCAGGGGTCATTCGAATTTCACCATGAAGCAAATGAAAGCGTCTTTTTCACCTTCCAAACACTTGCTCAATTATAACTCTTGTTTTTCTTAAAGAAATATTATATCTATGCTGAGCAACCAACGAAAACACGGATAGCCGGAAACACCAATAAGTATGCCTTTAAAAGTTCCATGCATAAATTTCTTACCAAGTTTTGACTCTCTTAAAATCCTTGCATCATGTGTGCTCCCAGGCTATTTTGCAACAACATCAATAAACTTTCCTTTGTTATCACACACCGCTTGGACATTGATTGAATGATTTGATGACCTATCAACATAAGCATATTCGTGCTCGTGTAGTTTCTGTATGCAAATATGCGTGCAATCTATTACGCAAGTTACTTTTGGAAATTCTGCAATTTCATAAAATTTCACTCTGCTCTCGTTTAAAACGTGTTGATTTGTTGGGTATTTGATGTATTCATTAATTCGTTTCGCTAGACTTAAAGAAACTCGACGAATGATTCTTGAAATAGTCGGTTGACTTAAAGCTGCTGTAGAGTCACCTACCACAATTTGAAAAGATCCTGTTGGATAAAATCGAAGTGCACATAACAATTGCAAAATAGGTGCCACAACTAAAGTTTGGTTTGACTTTGGCTGTAAATCTATTTGCAGCAAATCTGTCAAATAGAAAATAGATGCTCTACGAAACCTAAAACTTTTACATAAGTCTATGACATCATAAATATCGAGTGGGTTGTTTTGGTCTCTGAATATCTTTCTCGTCTGAGAGCTCTTTCGACAGCAATTTCTTGACGTCTAACTTCTGCAAATCCAGTTGCATATGTATGAATCGGGGCATTATGAAATATGCTTACCTTACGATGAAACAATATTGAATACTCTTTATTCTATATGTTTAATGTTAATGCTTTTAGTTTTACTTCATTTATATATAACGGCATACTTAAAAAATATTGTATATTGCAAAAATATAGCAACACAGACTCATTACAACTTCATTGTTTCCTGGCAATATTTAGCAAATAGCATGGTAGTGATAAATATTTGCTAATCGTTTTTTGGCAATGTTTAATAAATACCATCATAGTAATAAACATATTTTAATCGTTTTTTATCAGTGTTAAACAAATACCGTCATAGTAATTACAAATGAATCCAGACAACAAATAAGGCATGGTAACTTGAAACTTCATTTTAATTACTTAATAAATTTGTTATAAATTGTGTAAAATTATTTTATTTTAGTTATACAATTGATTGTTAATAGTTATATTAAAATTTAAAAAACCTCAATGGAACTACCAACTGTACCCAACTGTGTACCAACTGTAAAAACTCTAAAGAAACGTGCACACAGAGGAAAAGTCTATACGACAGAATGGTTGTTGGTAACGAAGTATGAAGAGCATAAGGAGGTTCTTCTATCAAAGGATGGAAAAGCAGAGATTAATAAGCGAAGAAATCTCATATGGAATGAGGTAATCCTTTGTATTATATTGATTGAAAGAAAAAAATACTCATCAAATATAAATAATTTATTACATACTTTTTAGATCACCGATGCTTTAAACAGCTTAGGATACAATAAAAGAACAGTTTCGAGCGTGAAAAGTTTATTGGATAATTTTTTAAAAACTGTAAAAAAAGAGATTTGTGCAACAAAACAAATTCCAACTGGAGGAGGCCCAGCGATTATTTTATCAGGAATGAGCAAAAAAAATATTAGCTATATACGGAGAAAATTCTCCAATATTTTTAGGGTTGGAAGGTGTGGAAACCAATGACATTGAGGTCGTATCCGATATAGAGATTTCTGCCATGCCTGTTGTATTTGATGCTACAAATAGTGCAACTCCAAACACTGTGACTGCAGATGAAAAAAGTGACAACGAAAATAAATTAGGACAAAACAAACATTCTAGTAATCACGAAAAACCTTCGTCAGAAACAAAGAAAAAAAGAACTCCGGCTCTACACCTGTCAACTATAGATATGGAGAGTTACATTTCAGAGTAGATGTTAAAACTTAAGGAAGAAGTTTTAAAGTTACAAGCTGAAAGAGATTTTTTCATTTCTAAAAAAGAGTTAGTCGACTTGGAAAAAAGAAATGCATCTATAAAAGAAAAAATACTTTTATTAAAGGAAAAATTATTATTATGGTTAATTGTTCTCCATACTGTTTTGCTTTTGAGATATTCAAATCAGTTACCATTAACAAATTAATTTTTTTTTAAACAATAACAAATCATAACGAAACAATTAAAAATTGTTTCTTTTGTGCTTATAAATTTCTAATGAACACGATTCTGCTCAATCTTTTATCTTTTCTGTTTCATTATCATTAAATGTTATATATAACTTCATGTTCCAACATCTGCTTACATGATTTCACATCACTTTCCAAAACTTCAATGTTTTATTTTGATGTTTAACTCCTATCAATCTAAATCACTTAAAATTTAGGTATAAAATGTTATAGATAAATAAATATATATATATATATATATATATATATATATATATATATATATATATATATATATATATATGAATATATATATATATATACATACATATATATATATACATATATATATATATATATATATATATATATATATATATATATATATATATATATATATATATATATATATATTTATATATAAATATATATATATATATATATATATATATATATATATATATATACATATATATATATATATATATATATATATATATATATATATATATATATATATATATATATATATATATATTATATTAATATATATATATATATATATATATATATATATATATATATATATATATATATATATATATATATATATATATATATAATAATAATAACTAGAATAACAAAAAATCCTAATGATTGACAACGATTTCTTATAGAAGTTTGTAATTTTCCAAATGCTGCGTCTATCCAGACAATGTTTATATAGAAGTCAGAATAAATTTCGCGGTATTTTTTAGCAATTTTTGTCTTTCCAACACCTGACATTCCATATAGTACTAAAGCCGACTTTTGTGTGTCTTGTGAAAAATGACAATGAATTTCGTGAAGAAGTTTTTCGCGTTGAACACCTAACATTAAACATATAGTTACTATTATGAATAACCATTTTAATACCCCATCATACGGTAATATTATTTTTCTTTATAATAATTGAGGTTTTTCAAATGCAAATCGTTATTTTTTAAAAATTTTCAAATGAAAATTTAAAAAAATAATAAATTATACTAGTTTTAAAATGAATAGTTTATAACAAAGTTTGATGTAAAAATACTATAACAACTTTAAAAATATACAAAATATAAATCAATAAACAAAACTTAATAAGAACTTTTTTGAAAAACATGATGTGACGTAAAACAGAAACTATTGTTACTCTAAAGATTATAAGATTAAGAATAAGACTTTATCTTTATTTATTATTTATCTATTATTGTGTACATCCAAAAATGTGTATTTTGAATCTATAATATCAAAATCTAAAATAGGATTATAAATCCTATTTTAGATTTTGATATTATAGATTTTGTTTATATTACATATATACGCTTTATGGTATATAAATTGTTTCAGAAACAACCAAAGAAAAATCTTTTATAGATTTAATTTTTATATTATATTAAATATTCTTAATGGATGGTATCACTTTATACTACAGCTCAATATGGTCATGTTGCAACTTGCAAGTTAGTTGCAAATTAGTTGCAAGTTACTTTTTGAGAAAGGAGTTAATATAGATAAAAGAGCTCATGTATATTTTTTAGTGTGTTCCAAGTTTACATAAATATTGAAATAAAATTGATTTTTTTCCCATTTACTCTCATCCCTGAATTTTTTTAACTAATAATACAGCTAGATAAAATTTTATTTCTTGACATATATGACAAAAAACAAACAAGCATATTAAGGAATTATTTAAGCAGTTTTTAGCTCAATTGATTTTTTCTGAGCTTTTTTTTATTGTTTTTAGCTCTATTTATCTTTCCTGAACTTTTTCTATTGTTTTTAGCTCTGTGGAGTCATTTTAATTTGTTTTTTCTTTTTTACTATTACTATCACTCCTGCCTGCAACCACTTTTTAGTTTTGCAATTTGACCCAGGCCATTGTCATACATCATTGGATTCGTTACAATGAGCAGAATTAGGTTTGATATGTTACCGAAATCATAAAACTCCTTTTCGCAAAATATTTACGTTTTAGGGGCTAAAAGGGCCCAATTTTGGAAATATATATATATATATATATATATATATATATATATATATATATATATATATATATATATATAAATTAAATATGTTAATTTATATATATAAATTTTCATGTAAATTTATATATATATATATATATATATATATATATATATATATATATATATATATATATATATATATATATATATATATATATATATATAAATATATATATATATAAAGATATTTATAATTAAAGAGAAAGTGTCCACTTTTGATTTAGATCGACCTGATACAAAAAATCCACTCGGCATATGTAATAAATGTAGAAAAAATATACGTAGAAAAAACTACTTGCCGGATTTTGTTATAGACTGGACTAAAAACGTTGTTACACCTTTAACCAGAAATTCTACTAGTTGTTACTGTAAAATATGCAAACTAACCAGTTTACGTGGAAGAACCCGAGCAAGAAGAAATAGTAAGTTTTCTAAGTTGGGTGCACCAAATGAAAAAATATGTAAATCTTGTCTTTCAATAATTGGGAAGGGAAAGAAGCACAAATGTGGAAATAAAATGTAACTGTAAAAGTTTTAGAAAAACTTCAAGCTTTAGCTAAAGTTACGGATCACCTTGCTTCTTAAGTTATCTCAGAAAAAATCATATGAACAAGGATTGAAAATAATTAAACTTGCTACAGGTGCAAAACCTTTACACATATCAGTAGGAATCTTAAAAAATAAACCTAAACAAATCACCTTGATTGATTTATTAAGGATTCAATCAAGACTTTCTTTGTCCAACAAGAAACTAATACAACTAGCAAAAGATCTCAGGTAAGAACAATTTGAAGTATATCTTACTCTTTTTAAGGAAATTAGTTAGCCTAAATGTATATGTTTTTTTTTTATTAGAACATCAATGAAAAGGAAAACTTGCATACAAGCAAACCTACAAACAGCACTTCCGGCAGTTGATGATGCACTTGAAGATTTATTTTTAATTGATTATCAAGAATTTGATATTAAAAAAGGAATTTTAAAAGTAAGGGAAAATATCCCTATTATTAAGTGCATCAATATTGAGGGTTTTTTAAAGTTGCTAATTGCGATAAAAGAAGTGAACTTAAGCAATCAAACAGTCAAGCTCGATATTGATGGAGGAAGAGGCTTTCTAAATGTAAATAATTATATTCTAAATATGTTTATGAGAATTATGTAAAAAAAAACATTTTGTAAAAATAAAAAAATTCTTATTTTAAATTTGTTTAAACCTACTGTCAGATTGTGAGAGCGAAGGTTTAGAACTTGACAAAAACAATCATGAAGACAAAACTACAATGAGTACATATGAAGAAGCTCAGAATTCAAAATAAAAAGAAGGTTCTGTAAAAGCTTCTTTTTTACTAGCTTTAGTTCCGAATGTTCCTGAAAGTCACTACAATGTTTCTATATTAATGAACTGTCTTAATTTAGATAGAATAAAACACTCATTTGCAGCTGATCTTAAGCTTTGTTAAATAATGTGTGGTTTATCTCCAAGTGCTAAAGCTACACAACCGTGCCATATATGCGAATGGAGACGAATGCAACCATTTAAAGAAAAGAAGCTTAAAACTTTTGGTTCTTTAGAGAAACAGTACACAAAATTTTCTCAATCAGGTGCAATAAAACAAAATGCATAAGAATTTTGCAACGTTATTAATCCTCCATTGATACACACAGAAACCAGCGACCACTTAGTGGCAGATTATATTTTCCAGCCAGAGTTACACCTAATAGATGGAGTTGTTAATCATATTTATAATCATATAGAGAAATGTGGTGGTGAAAACGAAGTGGCTAAAGTATCAATGATTTTAAACATTTCAAAAGAGGTCCAGAATAATGCCTTTAATGGCAACGCCTCCCGTAAAATTCTTTAAAATTGTGATTGCGTGCATTGCCAATTAATTTAAAGCCATTTGCAGAGAGGCTTAGAGTTTTAAACAATTTGGTTGAGTCTTGTTTTGGACAAAAACTTCATAATGATTTTTAAACACATATTAAAAACTTTGAAGATCACTACAGAACACTTGTTGAAGACTATGGAATAACTGTTTCATTGAAAATTCATTTTATTATAAAACATATAGGTGGAGTAAGAGGGCATGGATTAGGCTGCTACTCTGAAAAATCTGTTGAAGCGATTCATTACAGCTTTGTTAATGAATCTTGGAATAGACTAAAAGTTTCCAAAATTAACAGCTCCTTTTCTGAACATTTAAAAAAAGCTGTTATCAGTTTTAACGTAAAAAACCTTTTAAATATTGCAAATGCTCCTAAAAATATATTTATGTTTTAACTTTACTTAAATATAACTTTTTTATGATAATATGTTTCACAAAAATGTTAAGCTTATTAATAAACAGTATTTTAATAATATAAAGGATTAGTTAATGTGCATGGTTTGTATATATATTTAATATATTTGTATTTTACAAATGACATATTTATGACAGTCATATCCAAACAATATATTCTATTTATGACTCATCTTCACACCTTAAATGGCTTTAACTTTTGAAAAATTATTAAATTTTTTATATAAATTTATTTAAAAAATAATAATTTAAAAATCCACAAAATTGGGAAAAAGTTTCTAAATTGGGCCCTTTTGGCCCCCAAAACGTAAATATTTTGCTAAAAAGAATTTTTTGATTTTGGTGATATATCAAATCTAAATCTACTCATTGTAACGAATCCAACGATGTATGACAATGGCCGGGGTCAAATCGCAAAACTAAAAAGTGGTTGCAGGCAGGTGTGCTATGTAAACATAAAATAAAAAATAATAAATTTCCTACTCTACATAACTTACATATATTTACTAGTCTGCATATATATATAATATATATATATATATATATATATATATATATATATATATATATATATATATATATATATATATATATATATATTGATATATATATATTGATATATATATATATATACATATATATATATATATATATATATATATATATATATATATATATATATATATATATATACATAATATATATATATATATATATATATATATATATATGTATATATATATATATATATATATATGTATATATATATATATATATATATATATATATATATATATATATATATATATATATATATATATATATATATATATATATATATATATATATATATAGACTATCAGAGAATCCTCTACATATATATATATATATATATATGTAGAGGATTCTCTAATTGTCAGATCCGTCAAGAAAAATCCAGGGATCTTTCTTGACGGATCTGACAATCAGAGAATCCTCTCTAGAAGTGATGGAGCGCGGTCTTCCACCTTTATTATCTGCTGCCAACTTCGAACAATATTTATAACATAGTCTTGATACGGTCCATTTTTTCACGCAATATTTATCACAAAAATATTTTTGTGACATTCCACTTACCTAATTGCCAATAATTTCCTTTCTTAGTTCCAATCCAGGACTGTTGGGAGCCAATCTTGCACTTAAAGTCATTAAAATAATAAAAAAAAAATAATCACGCTTCTCAAGGCTGACTTTGTTACATTTACCTTGTGATGATACAATAATGCTCTGTAGAACACAACGAGAGCATTATTGTATCATCACAAGTATATATATATATATATATATATATATATATATATATATATATATATATATATATATATATATATATATATATATATATATATATATATATATATATATATATATATATATATATATATATATACTTGTGATGATGACAAAACAATTGCAACCTTTTAGACTTGTTTTATTTTCTTAAGTCTGGTCCGTGTCAACGTCACGTGACCAGACTTAAGAAAATAAAACAAACCTAAAAGGTTGCACTTGTTTTGTCCGCTGCAAAATGGCACTTGTCATCGAAGTTTATGTCATGGCATTTAAGTCGTGAAAAGTCAATAAGTGATAAGGTGGCATTCTGGTGGCGTGAACATCTGTGGTGTAGATTAGGTGTAACTCACTTCTTAGAATTACGCAACCTTAGCATCAGAGCACAGGGCGTACGAGACATACCTAAGGCGTCTTTTGAACGTTTAGGACGTCTTTCGAACATTAAAAAGACTTCTTCTTTAGGTCCTGTGTCAACTGGGAGGTGCGTTTATGAACGTTAACTATTATATTTATATTTACATTTTTGTTAATATATTATAACTTATAAAGATTTTGACCTATGGCAGATCTTAGCAAGTATTTTACAAACTTTCAGATTTATTTTCAAATGAAAGCAACTTATACAAGCCCTAGTTTTCTATCTATGCTTGATATTTAAAAAAATATAAGTTTAATTCCTAAGAATCATGGTACTATTACAGTAAGCGCCGGCCTTAGCTTTTTTGACAGGTTGGCCAAATATGTGAATGCGCCCCTAGGTATATATGGGTTGTTACCATTAACAACGAGACCAATGCTCTAAAATGATGAACAAGAGTGCTAAAGGGAGTATATAGTTTAATGCAAAGAGATTCATATTGTGCATTAAGTTTCTTATTTAATTAATTTTTTATTAAAATTATAAACTTAGACTTTTTAAGATATGGGTTTATAGAAATGAGTGACTAATTAAATAGACAACGCAACGCTGCTTTTAAAATAACAAATGTTTTTATTAAACATATATATATTTTTTTTATTAAACAAAATTTTTTTTTTTTTTATAAAATTCAGTACAAAAAGTGGTGTCATCTCTTTTGTATTTATTTCATTTTCAACGATGTTTAACACTTCAGCTAACTCTTTGGCATCAACCGTTGCTTGTTTAAAGCCAAACGTACTGTAATTTTCCAAAAATGTGATGCATTTTTTCAACATTTTAGCGCACTGTACTAGATCCATGTCTTTGGCTTACATTGCTTTACTAACAACGTTTATTTGGAATAGTACATTGTACCATGCAATTAAAGAAACTAAAAAACTATAGTCTTTTAATTGTTCTGCTAATGTTTGCGCTTCGTGTGCAATATCGGGAGTTTTGGTTTCAGTTTCATATATAGTAATTAAAGCATCATGTACGCTGCTTATTTGGTATCGGATGGCTTTGAGGCTCTCAATTTTGGCTTCCCAACAAGTGTCGCATAATCGTTTAAGCGTGAAGTTTGTTGTATGACTAAGTAAAACATTCCAGCGTGAAGTTGATGCAGAAAATAATGTGAATAATCTTGGTATTATGCCAAAAACGTTAATGGAATTTAGTGAAGACTGCGCTGCGTCAAAAATAACTAAATTGAGGGAATGACTTCCACATGGAAAGTAAAAAGCCAAAGGATTCAAATCTAATATTCGCTTTTGTAGACCTATTTTTTTACCTTTCATATTTGCACCGTTATCGTAACCTTGCCCTCGACAAAAGCTTATATTCAGTCCAAAATCTTTTAAAGCTCCAATTATGATTTCCGTTAAACCAAGACCTGTCGTGTCGTTAACATTGAAAAACCCAAGAAAGTGTTCATTTATTTTTATAGGATATTCTGATATATTTACAATTCTAATCGTAAGCGAGAGCTTACGATTTTTGTTTTTTACTGTTCTTTGTGAGATACGTCAGGAGTGCAGTCAGCAATAATAGAATAATATGTTCTTTTTAGAGCTTTGGATATAATTATGTTGGTTACTTTTGATGCAATTATATCTATCATTTCATTTTGAATGGTTTTTCCACAGTATTGATCAGAAATATCTCCTTTAAGAGCTAGCGTGACGTGGTTTAACATGATAGGATCAAATTTAGCGAGTAATTGTACCAATCCTAAAAATTTGCCGCTATTAACTGCATACAATTTATCTATAAAGTAATGTTTATCAATCGTTCAAAAACACTTCGCCACCTTAAACTGTCCTTTTCGATTAGTTTTTGTTCTTGTTTATCAATAGTTTCACCAACTTTCATTCGTATTTCTGTCTCAATCCATAGTTGATAAGCAATTCTGTGTGACTTACTATTTTCGTGAATTTTTAATGCTTCTGTTAAATTCTTCCATTTATAAAATCCATTTCCGTTTAACTTTAAATTCATGTTGAAATCCAAAAGTTTGCAGCAAAAACAAAATACCGCATCTTTAGAAACTGAGTACACAAGCCAACGTCGTGAAATAACCTCACCATTTGAAAGTTTTCGGTTGTAATAAGCATTTGAAAAATGTCGTCTTCTATTATCGCGTGGATATGTGTCCAAAATCACTTGTATTGCACCTATATTAATTAATTAATCAACAAATTGAATGTTGCGATAAATTGGCCACAAACCACAGTCTGAGTAATCGATTGCTGTTTCTTCGGTGCGATCATTTACATCACCATCTTGGCCATCATCATTTTCGTTATCGATATCTTTTTCATCGTAGTGAACATTTCCAACTGACATAATTCCGTCTTCTTCATCGCTGGTTGATGCATCACTAAGTACATGCGCAACCTTTTTTCCTTCCTTTATTTTATTACAATCACTATTTTCTGATGTAATAAAATTTTCAAGTTTTTTATAATTTTTCTTCAAATTATCAACTTTTTCTGCTTTACGTTTTCTGTATTGAGCACCAGATGGTTTCTTATTAATATGAGTTTTAAAAACATTTTTTTCTTTATTATGAGTACTCTCCATTGATTGCTGCTGACAGTTTCTATTTGTCTAAAATTTTAAAATAAAATACAACTCGCAAGCTAATAATTCATAAACAATTTCATTATTTATACTTACCTGCTTTTTATTACCGCAAAATTTGAAAACTTGACAATAACTGAATTTGAATCACAAATACAACTTTAAATTTCTTCTACAAATTAATATACAACGCGCTCGCGACTCGTACCGAAAATAATGCTTAAAATTTAAACTTTAAATAAATGGAACGCAAAATAATTGGCGCCGAGAAAAATACGAGTAAAAAAATGAATTTAGTAACAAAATATCTTCTATATAATATTGCCAAACTTAATAGTAGTGTCCCTTGGAGCGTATTTGACACGAAACCCTTGGCAGCCATTGCAACCGAGGTATTAGCAAGAAAGAGTCGCAGCACTATAAGAATACGTGAACGAATATCTAACGTACGTAAACTTTAAACTAAGTAATGTTAAAGCATATGTTAAAACATACTGAAACATTTATCACGTTTTACAGTTTGATTTTTACTTGAAAATTACATTACGTCAACCTCTCCTTAATTTTGATCTAACATATTTTTCCTCAAAAAAATTACTACATTTTTATAAAATCTACACTTGACGATATGCCGGCGTAGCTTGAATGGATAGGGCGGCGAACTTCTGAACAAGCAACTAGAGGTTCGACTCCTACCAAAGGCGGCTGTTTTTTTTAATTTTTTTAATTATTTTAAAATACAAAACACTTTCGAAGTTTTATAAAGATTATATACAAACATATGTAACGTAACGATGTTATGCACTCACAAAAGAAAAGATTTTAAGAATGCTAAAACTTCATAAAACATTAAAAAAAAAAAAAAACATCACCAGGAGAAAAAATATGTTGCGTATCTATGATAATTGAGACACTTATGTTATTAATGTGCGAATGTAATTAGTCCTAATAAGCTGCGGATGGTCTGAAAAAAAAGTTGTCTGAAACTTAATAAAGAAAAAACTTAACAAGACAGCCCTGCTACTTCATAAGATGCTGCTGTGGAGGCAAAAAAAAAAAAAACCTGTAGCTAGATAAAACTTTAAAACTTTCTTTTGACAATTAAAAGTTTATTTTGCTACATTAACTTTTTTACTATAAATATATGCAGCAACTGTTTTTCAAAACGCCTTCAAAATGCTTATGACGTAATTCAAAAAAAACCCAATTAAAAATAAAATTGTTTGGAAAAACTCTTCGTAAAACGTTTTTTGAAACGAATAACTTTAATTTAGTTTTTTTTTTCTTTTGTGCAACTTTCTTTTCAATAAATTTCTTTACCCTTCAGAATATGACCATTTTAAACAATGCTATAGAAAAAATATCAGTAAATTGATTAGTAGTATTTCAATTATATTAATTAGATTAAATTATATATATTAAATTATATATTATATATATTAAATTAAATAGATAAATAAATTGATATTCAGTAAATTTTTTTAGACTTAGTGACAAAATAGACTAATTAGATAAGTCGTTAAGTAGAATGCTAAGAATATATTTATGGCGGTTATTGTTGTTAAGGGTGATTAATAGGCAAATAAATTAAAAGCTAATCAGGGCTTTGAATAAATTATAAACTAATCAGGGAAGTTTTATTGGTAAACCTAATAAATAGGAAGATAACATATAATTCAGGTAGACATTGTTTTCACTTTTTCGCCAAACTTTGATATCTTTGATATTAAAAAATATGACCTTTCCAATAATTATAGATGGTAGTTTATCAACCTTTTTTTTCGGATCCACAATCCGTTATGATTTGTATTTTATCAATGTGAACGAAAGTCTATTCAAATATCTAAATATGTAAACTTTAAGTTCTTTAATTATCAATCAGTATAATTATAAAGTAGATGACATCAAATTCTACCGATTTATTTTTACTTAATAATTTCATTGCGACAATATCTCTTTATTTTAAAGCATTAAATGTTGTTTTTTAAAGTTTAATAAGTTTTCTGTTTATTAAATAGTGTAAAAAGATGATATAGCGTTCCAAAGCGATTGAAGTGCTTCGCTTCGGTTCAAAACCTTTTGCTTACACATTTTTTTTTAAAAATCTTTTCCAGTTTTCTAGAAAACAAAGAAAAACAAGTTTAAATGCATATAGATGTTATACGCATTACATAAAAATAAAGATATAATATACTATAAGAAAGCAAACGGAGAGAATTTTTAAAAACGTTTTTAAAAATTTTTAAAAACATAAAAACGCTGCTGGAAATTTGTTGCGCATATATCATGATAGAGATACTTATGTTTTAGGTAATTAGTTAAAACTGCGAGTTCAACACACATTAAAGAGATAAATTTCTTTCTTATATATATAAAAAAAAGGTTTTACATGCAATCTGAAATTTTTATTAAAACTAACTGGTCAAGAGTCCTAAAAAGTACGGAAAAGTATGAAAAAAAAAATTGTAATCTGAAACCTAAAAAAAAAAATTTAGTTACTCCAGAAGGTGACAAACAGAAAACCCACAAAATTTCGCCTAATCCGCTAATAGAAATGCTCGAATATTAAGATATAAACAAATATTAAATGATTTTTGTATTACGAAACGTACGCCAACTCTTAAACCACTGTAAAACTACCTTGCGGTTATCTAATTAAATCCACCAAATCCGTTAATAAAAACAGCTTAATTAATAGATTCAAAACCATCTGACTTTTGTATTATGATATGTGCGCCAACTGTACTCTAAAACCAATAAAACTCGGCCATGTGGTCTTCATATCGATTATAACAATTGCAAAGCGAGGGACGACAAGTAAGTTGTATCTACAAGTTTAATTATTGTAATCTTGATTTAAAAAATTAAACTTATTTTATAATTACCATGTTAATATGTTTGAAGTTAATATGTTTTTGATCCAAAAATAAACATTAAGATTCTTTTATAGAAAGGAGCAGCCAAGATACAGAAGGTATTCTTTTAATTTTGTATAACATTAATTAAAGAGATAAAAAGAGATGATACGTCAATAATACTGAGATATTTAGCTTATTTTTTTATTAAGAAATTACATTAAGAAAATTTTGTATATCTTTAGGCGACAAAGAAGTTTCTGCATTTTTTCGAAGTAAGCCATATATATATACTATATATAGTAGCAGTTACATATGTTCTAAAAGTGGCGGAGCTGTACTTGATTTACGGTGTGAATAAAACGATGATTTAATTTAGCCGTTTTTAATTAAAATCAACCAAGATATGCCGCCCTCCCCTAACCCCGTGAATCAAGTACACCCCCCTAAAATTTAACTAAAATTAAAAAATATATAAATTAATTTTTAGAACTTTAAAAGGCTGGACCCAAAAATCAGTTTTTGTTTATTCCGCTATTTTGATTGATGTTTTTGTAAAGCAGTGAACCTTAAAAACGCGTATAAGCTTTATTTAAGGTGTTTAAGCTATAATTTCATAAAACGTGTTTAAGCTAAAATTGACTTTTAAGTCTTCTAACTACTAAACTTTCACGTAAAATGAAACTTTTTGTCATTTACTGAATGTGTTAAATTATAAAACTGTGCAACAGTTTTATAATTTAAGACAAATCTTATATGTTTAATTGAAAAAGTAAATATTTTGAAAATTAATTTTGTCTATATATATATATTAGATGTTCAAGAGATCAGAGCCGAAGAGCTCTTGCCAAGTAAGCTAATTTTGTATGAGAAGGATATGTTACAAAGATATATATTTCACCAATTTCAGCAATTTGTTAATTATAACTTTTTTTTAATGTTTAGCGGAAGTAATGGACAAGCTAAGTGAGGAATTTTGTTGTTGTTTTTTGTTTTTTTTTGTGTGCAAATACATTTATGCTTTTTTAGTTTTTTTAAAGCTATTTAGCAACTGACTTTTGTCAGTTGTGACAGTTTGTCAGTCAGCAAGTGACTTTTGTAACTTTTAAATGTATTTTATTTAGAAAAATTAGAAGATTCTGTTGAGAATCTAAGTAAGCAATTTGTTATTGTTGTTGTAATGCTCTTTATTTTTTTTATTACATATTTATTTAACATAAAGTTATTCTTTATTTATAACATAAAGTTATTCTATATTTGGCAAGTTAGTTTATTTTAATGTTTATAAGTTTTTCATTTTATTTAGAAAAATTAGAACATTCAATGGGTAAACAGAATTTGATTATATTACATTTGTGTATTATAGATAAAGCATTTTACTTTCAAAAAAAAAGGTGTATTCTATGGTCTTTTAGCTTTTTTGATACAATTTTTAGCATTTTTTTTATAGGGCTTATATTTCAACAACTTAGTAAGTTACTATATTGTTCTTGTGAATTGTTTCTTTACTTTTATTTTTTATTTTTTTTGTCGCTTTTTTCTTTTTTGGTTTGTTTTGTTTTGTGATTGTTATTTTTGCCTTTTGTTTTGTTCCAACTTTATTTATAGATTTCCTAAAGTTGACAAATATTCTGCATGTTAGTTTCTTTCCTAATGTTAATGAGTTTTTTTTATTCTATTTAGAAAATTTAGAAAATTCAATTGGTAAGGAAAGTACACTTATGTTTCTTTTTGTTTAATTTTAACACACATTTTTTGATGTTTGTGTGCGGTTTTATCACTCTAAAATAAACTGCTTAATTGATTAGTATATGTTAGTTTATGTAAATATATTTTTTACCTCCACTATAGCGTCATCTGCAGTACCATCAGGTAATGTGTTTTGCATTCTTATGCAGTTTTAAGAGTGTTATGTGTGTTAAAACTTAAAGATAGCATATCTTAATTTACAGATTACTTTATTTATTTATTTTTTTGTCTCTACATTAGCACCTCAAGCAATAATATCAGGTAATCTGTTTAGCATACTTATGCAGTTTTATGGGTTTTATGTGTATTTAAACTTAATCATTACTGTTTTCATGCAATTACATAAATGTTTAACATATGTTACTTTATACACTTTTTTTTTTACCTTTACAATAGCACCAATGTCATCATATGCAGTACCATCAGGTAATGTGTTTTGCATACTTATGCAGTTTTATGAGTGTTATGTGTATTGGAACTTAAACATTACTTTTTTCATGTTTGTAAACAATTACATAAATGTATAACATATGTTACTTTATACACTTTTTTTTTTTTACTTTAACAATAGCATCAATATCATCTACAGTACCATCAGGTAATGTGTTTTGCATACTTATGCAGTTTTATGGGTTTCATGTGTATTGAACTTAAACATTACTTTTTTCATGTTTGTAAACAATTTCATAAATGTATAACATATGTTACTTTATACACTTTTTTTTTTTTTTACTTTCACAATAGCATCAATATCATCTGCAGTACCATCAGGTAATGTAGTTTGCATACTTATGCAGTTTTATGGGTTTTATGTGTATTGAAACTTAAACATTACTTTTTTCATATTTGTTATCATTTACATAAATTTTTAAAATATGTTACTTTATATATTTTTTTGTGTCAGTAGGAATTTTTATCTTTAGCAATGCTGATAAAACTGAATTTTTTAAAAAAAAGAGTATTTCCAGCTTTCCAACCAAATATTAGAGACTTTTACAAAAGCACCCTCACAAAGTAAGTGTCTAATATTTATTTAATATTACTAAATTTCGTTTCGTATTTTTTATTTTTCAAATGAATTAACATAAAACAAATAAATGTGCGTTCAGTGTTATTAATAATGATTTTATTTCATTTTTAGATAATGCTTTTATAATCAATTTAAAATTCTTTCAAATCGTTAATCATTTTCTAAAGGCGAAGAAGAAGAATCATCAATCTTCATACTATTTAATAAAGCTATTTTAATAAAACGCAATACAAATTGTTGTAAATTAGTATTTGAATAATTTTCACGTTGCTACCTTATTTTGCAGTTTCCTATCACTTTGTATTGAATTAACTAAATCCAATATTAAAGTGCCTTATATCAAGTACTTCACATTTTCTGTTTTTGTTTTATGCAGAAAAACAGATCAAGTTAATTTATTTGACTTGCCTAGCTACTTATTTTACACGCCTAGCGACAGTGAGTGTGCATAAATCAACAGAGGATTTGGGTTTGGGCAGGTTGTCTTGAACTAAATGATTTACCTTCTTCATGTTAAGCTCTAAATATAAATATACGGAAAAGGTGCATATGTGAATTTTTTTTTTTTTTCTAGCACATAATCTATTGTTCACTAAAAAATATTAGAGTGAGAAATAAAGATAAGGTTAATGTGGAATAGAGTTTGTCCTTTTAAGTGAAAAACTATTTTATAATCTATTTATCTTCTATATAATAATGCCAAACTTAATAGTAGTGTTAGTAGAAAGAGTCGCAACACTTTTTTTTAGAAGAAAACGTGTATGCAAATATCTAACGTACGTAATTAAGTAATGATAAAACATACTGAAACATTTTTCAAGTTTTATACTTTGACTTTGACTTAAAAATTGCATTGCGTCAACCTCTCCTAATTTTTTGATCTACAGCAATTCCGTTAAAAACAATTTTTATATTTTTTTAAAATTTCGATATTTGATGTGTCAGCATGGCCGAGTGGTTAGCGCGCTAAGCCTCTGAACGTAATAGTCGTGGTTCAAATTTACCGCCAGCGATTTTTTTCTTTAAATTACAAAATATTTGTGAAGTTAAACAAGTTAAGTGTTATACACTTTAACCGTTTTTTTTTTTTAATTTTATAAATTTTTTGGATTTCTTAAAACACCAATAAACGTGGCGAAAATTTTTTGCGTGTGTGTCACGATTTTGATACTGTTCTCGCATAATTGGTCCTAATAAGCTACGGATAGTCTTAAAAAAAAAGGTCCTAAAACCTAATAAGGAAAAAATTTGATAAAACCGTCGTGCTACTCCACATGGTATTGCAGTGGAGGCAGGGAAAAAAAAAGCAATTAAAAGGTTTTTTGTTATATTTAAATTTTTGCTATAAATATAGCCAGATTAAAAAAATTTAAAAAAATGTATTGAGATTTTTTAGGCGCGGATTTGAAGCCTTGCACAGCGACTCTGATGACTGCGCACTTAACTTGTGAGCTATCAAAGTTATGCATGTAGTTAGGTGCTTCAACATTTTTTTAAAAATGTAAAATGAAAACAAAATAAATACCATAAGTAAGAGCTAAATAATAACGTTTAAAAATTTCCGAATATTTTGTTATAATATTATTAGTTTTTCAACTTTTAAACCACAAAATTTATAATTTATTTTTTTGCATGACTTTTGACGCTTTAAGCGACTAACGTTTTAAAGAATTGCATTACCGTTTCCGTCTAATACAAAGATAAAAGACCTGCATTTACCGATACGGACAGCTAGATTAAGAAAATAAAGCAAAAGGTTTGTGTGGAATAGACTTACAAAGACCCGTATTTTTACGGGTCAATTCAGCTAGTATGCTATGATTGAAACACTTTTAATCAAATTATTAATTTTGCATAAAGAGTTTTTAACAGTGTAATAATACAATAAATAAATTATTTAAAGAAATTATTTTTATAAATAAAACAAACATTCGAAAAAATAACAAAAAATCAAAAATCGCCAGTTTCCTGGCGCCCTTAGGAGGCGCCTAACCTCGCCCCCCCCCCTTCCCTAAGGCCGGCACTGATTACAGTCAAGGAGACTTCTCATATTTAGATTTATTGTTTCAAAAAAAATATCAAATTAAAAAATAAATAATCTCACTTTTAAATTTATTAATTTTTTATACTCCTATAAAATTTTAAAAAAATTAAAAATAATTCTTGACATAAATATTGCATTAATTCAATAATAATAATGTATGCGCCGTGCACACAATTAAATACTTTAATCGAAAGTAAATTCCAAATTTGCAATTCTGTTAAAAAGTAGGGGTGCTTAATTAAAAGTAGGATTGATGACGATTGTTTTTAAAACAAGAGTCATAGGCCGATGGTTATAAATTATTTTTAAATTTTATAGGAGTATAAAAAATTAAAAAATTTAAAAGTGAGACTATTTATTTTTTAATTTGATAACTTTTTAAAACAATAAATCTAAATATAAGAAATCTCTTTGACTGTAATGGTACCATGATACTTAGGAATTGAATTCATATTTTTTTAAATATCAAGCATTGATTAAGCACTAGAGCTTGCATTTGAAAATAAATCTGAAAGTTTGTAAAATACTTGCTAAAATCTACCATAGGTCAAAATTGGCTTAGTATATTCCTAGCTATATATATATTTTTTTGTGTTTGTTTTTTTATTAAAAAAAGAGCAGCCTTCTTGACTGTAGAGGCCCCTCGGGCTTCGTTTCTCAAATTTCACGAAAATTTGTGAAATCAATAAAAAAACAAAATTAACTACTTTTTGCGTTTGTATTGGTAATCTTGTAACGTTTGTATTGGTAAACCTTATTGCAATAATGGGATATGATGAAACGCTGGTGAAATTTTGACCGCGGGCCTGTACATAATTAATTCTTTATTTAAATCAATTACTATGATTATTAAAAAAATATTGTAGTGCTAGGCATAGAGAAAGTAGCTTTGCGTTCTGAATTCTGAAAAGAAGGTCAAACTTGATCTAATCAAGTTTTTGTGTTTTTTCTAGCATTTTTTTTTAAAGCATAACCACCGGTATTACAAGTCTTCTGTGCACAAAAAAGTTATTGACAGTCATCATGTCACAAATTCAAACAACCTGGCAATTTGAATGTTTTATTTGAAAGCTTTGGAATACGAAAACAAGAAACTTGAAAAATTCTATAATTAAATTGCCTCAATAAAGACCACTAACATAAACTATTTTGACAAGGTTTCTGAGATCGGAGCCGAATCCCACTAGGAAGTGTTTTGTTCTAAGAAGTTTGATGAAAAAAAAGGTCAAAGCTTCCAAAGTTTAATGACAAAATAGATCAAAGCTTTCAGAGACTTTAAAGTCTTCTTCTTTTATTTATTTATTTGAGTTTTTCATGCTATATTTTTCTATACAATGTTCTTATATCCGAAGATATTGTTGGCTTAACATAGGAACAGCCACAAATAGTCATCAAGGCTAATCCAACAGTCCTGGTTTTAATTTTTGCTTTGACGCTCTTATCATGTATCCCGCCACATTTTTAAAAGCTTGATTTACAAAATTGTAAAAAAAAAAAAATTATATAGCTTATTTAATATTTATATTGCTTCAAAAAAAAAATAGCTATTGAAAGTTAGTTTTTTTTTATATTGTTATAAAAGTTAATATTTAATGTTAATTAATTAAACGATCATACTTATTTTGTATACATTCAAATAGATAGCTGTCAATAAGTTTTTTTTATGATACGCAGCATATAAATAACTTCTTATATGACCACTAAAAAGCAAGTATTCAATTTTCTATATAAATACTATGGTCGATTTTTTAATGCTTTTAAAATCATTTAATTTTCCTCAGCTAAATATTTGCGATATACACTATATGTTAAGTAAATAATTATTGTAGCAATTATTGAAACGTTGAATAAAAAATATTTGGCGTGTAAATGAAAAGTTACCTTTAAAAAAGTCAAATTCATGACAACGTTCTTGATTTGATTCCATTTAGTTTCGAAATGATGTGGTGCTAAAAGATAATACAATTTACTTGTAAATTTTAAATGTATAAATTATAAATTATGGTTTTTACTACTACTACTATTACAACTACTACTACTACTGCTACTACTACTACTACTACTACTACTACTACTACTACTACTACTACTACTACTACTACTACTACTACTACTACTACTACTACTACTACTACTACTACTACTACTACTACTACTACTACTACTACTACTACTACTACTACTACTACTACTACTACTACTAAAATCATGTATAATTTTATGACTCGATGTAATTTTATTGCAAAGTTTTCTGAAATGTCTAGCCGTACCACAGAAAGTATATAATAACAAGTAATGATTACTTTTGTCTAAAACATCTAAAAGAGTTTAGATCTTTATTTAAAACAATAACTTTGTGCTGCTATAAACTGTGGAAATAAGAGTGGAAAAAACTGTACAGAATTTCATTTTTTCGTTTTATTAAAGACAAAAAAATGCAACTTAATTAATATGCTGTATTTAAAACCTTTTTTTACTTTAATAAAAGTTTATGAAATTTATATTCTAGTATTTTTAAACATATTCTTTTACTGTTTAACTTTTAGAGGTAAATTATGAAAATACAATGCATTATTCTACAAATAATGGATAAGTGTACATTACAATTGGCAATTCATATTATTTTTAACTTTCCAAATCCTTTTCTCTTTTTTGGTTTCAAAAGGAAACCAGAAAAGAGAAAAGAAAAAGGATTCTACGAATAAAATGAGGGGGGGGGGTATCTTTAAAACTTACCGACTAGTGCTTAAAAAAAAATTAATACAAAAAGGTCCTCAAAACAAAAATTTACACGACTGAACTGTGTCAAATAACCGAATAGCCTACTAAATTTGTAAAAAAAAACGACTATAACTTGAAAATCACCTTCTTTGGAGGGCAGAACCCTCCTCACCGTCACACGCACCCTTCCCTTCCGTCAAATTACCTCTGCATCCAATTTCAGTAAAAAATGATCTTATTATTTACCTGTTAGTTCAAATAGTATTTTAGAGATCAAAATTAACATTGCAGGTCAAAAGTTCTAGATTACGTTAAAATATTTAACATTTCAAACTGAAACGAAAAACCTAAAAAAACTGTATTGGGTCTATAAAACATATTTTATAATTATTTTGATTTTCAATTTACATGCTAGGCAAAATACAAAAAGAAAAGTTTTAATTTTATTTTATTATCTAGGTTATAAAACTGAAAAACTTGACTGCATTACTGTTTCATTACCAATTAGAACTAAAATATGACAGAAACATTGGCCATTGCAAATCAAAAGTTTCTTGCAGAAACACTAGACGATCTCACAAAAAACCATAACAATTCAATAATGTATATAAACATGACACAAGAAAAATTTCTGAACTTTGCAGTTTCAAAGCCAAACTTCTTGATTGTTTGTTCATTTAAGACATGTTCACTTAGAGAAATTGAATTATTAAAAATTATCAAATATTAAAAGTTAAAATTTAATTGTATGGAAAAATGAAAATATTTAATTTTATGTGTATTACATCCAACTTGTTTAGATTAATGATCGAAGTGCATGATAAACTGAAACAAGCATACATAACTCTGTTGATTTTTTTTGTTAAAAAAATAACTTTCATATAATATTTTATTAAAATTTTTTTTTTATTACAAGAGTGTGGGAGGGGGGAGGGGGGGAAGGCTTTATTATCCCATCCCACACTTAGTACGTTTTAGTTATATTACAATGTGTTATATTACAATATATTACAATATGTTACCATCTACTTTTAAAAACATAAGTATTCTAAAAGGTTACAAGCTAACATATATTATGAGTTGATGAGTTTACAACGGAAAAACCACAGATGTCCAAAATAAGTGTCTTGTTTTCAAAAGAACACTGTGAATATATAATACTTGTATTTAGCACTTGTATTTGGTTTTACCCGTTTGGTCTACATATATATTAAAATATAATATAATATATATATATAAATATATATATATATATATATATATATATATATAAATATATATATATATATATATATATATATATATATATATATATGTATATATATATATATATATATATATATATATATATATATATATATATATATATATATATATATATATATATATATATATATAGATACATATATATATATATATATATATATATATATATATATATATATATATATATATATATATATATATATATATATATATATATATATATATATATATATATATATATATATATATATATATATATATATATATATATATATATATATATATATATATATATATATATATATATATATATATATATATATATATATATATATATATATATATATATATATATATGTTTCGCTTGATGGTTTTGATGTTTCAAGTCAAATCTGGTGACGACTTGTGTTTTCAAAACAACAAAACCAGAGCTCAATGTTGTGTGAAAAATTTTCTGTATCTAGCCAGAAACAAACTATTTATAAGCATCTAATGCTTTGTAATTATCTATAGCCTCAAAAGAAATTATTCTAGGGCTATTAATTGAATGATATTTATTATTAATTAAATAATAATAAATATCATTCAATTGAACTCATAGCTATTCAGTTAGGTCATCTTTCCAAGTATTTGAATGGAACTTGTATCGACAAAAATTGATTCAAAGGATTGCAAGTTTGTTTATATGCTGTTCTGCGGCGTTAAAATTGAGTTATTCAAAATACTCGACTTTTTTTTTTAAAAAAATCTTCAATTCACTTTTGCGTACTAATTCTCCTGTTTTATTAACTCAATCGTTTGTTTGCCCCTTCAAGATGGTAGCAATTTGCGCTAATGAAAATTTGCATAACCAAGTGACATTTTGACTGCGAAAATAAAGTGCTTAATAGATTGCATTGGAATTTTAGAAATTTCTGTATTACTGAAATAATTGAATGCTATGGACACACATGTGTTTCCAAAGCAACTAAATTATCTCAAAATTAGAAAAAAGACTACTAGCTTTACTTTCTTTCATAGCGGCAAATGCGCTTTACTCTCTTTCATAGGGCAATTTTGAACCATTCTTTTGAATTCTGGAATATCAGAGAACAAATACTGGTATTTACTAAGTTGATGGAGGAAAACATCCCAAGAAAAATTTATATTTTTACACTAAAAGTATAAATTATTAGTTTTATACAATTTGTTTTTTTACCTGTAATTTGGCTGTTAAAATGAATAAATAAATAAATAAAACAAGACATACATTAATCATCCTTCAAAAATGAAACATTTCTATAGTAATTATGAATAAAACTGAAGATAATGTAGAATATTTCAAGAAATTTTATTTGATTTTATGTTAAATATGCTTATCGCTTAACGTGTTAATTAAACGAGATATTTTTTATTTTTTGAAGTATTTATTTATATGAATCTTTATTGATACTTTTATTTGAGTGAAAACTCATTCCGCTTTACCAAGTTAGAAGAGTGGCTTTTTATTCACATGAACAATAAAAGACAATCAAGCTAACAACATTAAAAATAAAATACGTGCATTAAATTTTAAAACAAAAATCAATTATTCTAAAAAATGAAACCCAATTTAAAATCTAAAAATTACCTATATTGAACCAAACGAGAAGTGAGATTTTTTCTTCCTCACCACTAAAAAAAGTAGAGAAAAATATATTATTAAAACCATTTTTCAACACTCGAACTTATTTAAAGCGTACGTCTTTAACTTTGAATAAAAAGAAAGATATCAAGTATCTGCAAGAACGTAGTAAAAAATGGACGTTTAACTGATTGTTTAAAAGCCAAGATATTTGCACTGTCAATTGTTATAATATATATGGGAAAACAATGGAAAACATTTGTGTCACGTGTAAATATTTTTATACAAACATTTTTCAAAATGACTAATCCAATTATATAAAAAGACATTTATATATATATATATATATATATATATATATATATATATATATATATATATATATATATATATATATATATATATATATATATATATACATGGGTGTAGAGAGTACTCATATTTTCAAGGGGGGCAAAAGTTAAAGATTCGATTTTTTTGAGCAATGTATGTTTACTATCCAGTGTTTATTATTTTTGATATAGAAATAAAAAAAATAACAACTTTTAATTTTGGTTAACTCGCATGAATAAATTAAAGTAAAACAAGTAGAGATGGAATTCTACTTAGTTGTCAAATAAATCATTCTACGGTGTGTTTCTTTTTTTAAATAAACATATCTAACAAAAAATCCATTCCATAACTCCGGGTAATTTCTTTATGGGTATTCATTGGAGAAACAGTGCTCAGCTCATGGTCAATCGAAGAAAATTTTTCAACAAAACAACTATTTAGAAGTCTACGCAGACTACTAAATAATTGTTTTGTTGTACAAATTGACACTTGCTGGACCAGAATTATATTTTGATAAAACGGACAATTTAAGAGGCAATGCTTCCTAATCAAATTTGTTCTTTAGTGCAGATGAAATCTAGAGCTAATTTAAAATCTTCAAAATGAACTTTTTCTCTTAGCTTTGTCAATGAAAATGACAAAGTAGAAGTATTTTATGTAGCCGATACTGCATTTAGTGTTATTTGATCCATTCACAAATTTGATCCATTCACAAATTTGATCCATTCACAAATTTGATCTATTCACAAACTTGATCCATTTACAAATTTGATCCATTCACAAATTTGATCCATTCACAAATTTGATCCATTCACAAAATTGATCCATTCACAAATTTGATCCATTCACAAGTTCTTCAATTCTTGTTAAATGACGAGTAGATTCACTTGATTCAAATCTATCGGTGAGGCCAACTAAAACTGCATCTAAACCGGCAAAGCTATATGCTTGAAGATCTCATTTGGGTCCTTTGGCTAGTAATAAGTATCCCTGATGTCGAACTCAAATCTTGAAGGTACATTCCTTTTCCTTGGTAGAGGTGGTTCGTCTAAATTCATAGTTTTAGCAAATTTCAGTCGCCGCAAAAGTGTTTTGAAACTTGACTTAGTACGTAAATATCTCAAAATTTGTTTCAGGTTCTGAAAGATGGTTTCAGCTTTGCTTGAATCTACTAGGATGGTAAAAACGATTCAAAGAAACTCCAATTTAAAAAAGTTGTCATAAACATGAAAAGAAGACAAAAAGGTCATTGCTATCACTTGACATTTGATAAAATCAGGGTTGTAAGGCCTTCCTGCCAAACTAGAAGTGATCTGTAATTATTTTCTATATCATAAAAGTTACTTTAAAGCATTAGTATCCAGCATGAAAAAAAGTTATAAGTTGAGATCAAAAGTCTATCTGAAGTTTTAATTTATCAAAAATTCGTACTTTTTATCTGAAAAAACGATTCCCTCATATATCAAGTTTTTATCTAAAAACGAGTATTTGGGTAGGTTTATAGCAAAGAATTATTTCTTTGTTCGGTTTTTACGGAAAAAAACTTTCTTCTTCTGGTTTCTTACTCTGTTTAAAATTAAAAAATTAAAATAATAGAGTAAAACGGGGTGAAACTGAACACTTATTTTAATAATTAATTTTTTTTTATAATGTTAAATGATTTTAAAATTTCTTTATTTTTATTTTTTTTTTGAGAAAAATGAGCTCTATCCAAATATGTAAAATAAAAAAAAAATGATGGAAAGTTTTTTAGTAAAATGAATTTATTTGAAAAATAAAAATGTTTACTTTAACGTGTTAAAGTATTCGTAATTAAATTAGTTATAATAAAAACAATTTACAAACAGAAAAAAATTCATTTACAAAATAGTAGGAATAATTTACAAGATTTGTTGCTCGGGAAGATGTTATCTTTCCAAGCAGTACAACTTAGTAAGCCCAACGTTGGCCTAACGTGTTTTTGATTGTTGGGCCAACGAGGCGTTTTGGTAAGCCGTAGTTGGCGTTGTGCTTGCATATGGCTGCCCATCGTGCCTACGTTAGTACAGCATACACTCAACATTGTTGGCGCAACGTTGGCTCACTTGTGGTTTAAAATTGTTAACCAAGTGAAACAGTAAGCGACACGTTGGCATAACGCATTTTGCAAGATGTTAATTTTATATTGGCACACTGTTAGTGTGGGTTTGTAGGGGCTATGTTGGCGTAATATTGTTTAAAGTTTGGAGTTGCGTTGGCATACGATTGGCCACCATTGGGCCTATGTCGGCATCGTGTATACTCAATGTTGTTGGCAATGCGTTGACACACTATTAGTTTTATATTGTATTTGCATTTATACATTTAGTTTTATATTGTATTTGCATTATACAACGTTAGCCAAAAACTTCAAGCATTGTTTCAATGTTCGCGTTGTGTGCCGGCTGGGATGATTTGATACTCATTGAATTGACGTTATTATGAAAGTTGAAAACGTAGAAGTATTTAAAGATAATTTTAATAATAAATTTATTGGTTTCTAGCTAAATGTTTATTCCTTAAAAATCTATTTAAACTATTATACAAATCTACAAAAAAATAATAAACTATATATGAAACTATATAACTTAAATAGTTATAATGATATGTTTCTTCTCCTCCCTCCATCACAATCTTTGGCGAATCGAAGCCATGCTTTAATGGCACAAGCAACCTCGGTATCCGTACCGCGACATGTTGTAGGATTACGCCAAACAACATCTAAATAAAATAAATATGTATTATGCATACACACTTACTTATAAGTGTTAACTATAAACTAATTTACTTTCATTCATAAAAAAACGTCAATAATAAGATGAAGTAATGACCTTTTAAAACGAAAAAAAAATAACGCACTGTTTATAATTTGACAAAGCTTGCTCTTGCCAAAGGAATATTTTCCCCTTTTTCCTTTTCAATTACAAATTACTGCTATTCTGTTTGACATCAACCGCTTCATAACATTTCTAATTGATTCAGTGATAGTTGTTCCGCCGCACTGACCTAAGTAATGTGTCTAACAGGGGAAAAACAATTTAAAAGATATTATTTACTATGTAAAAAATTTAAATTAACTTGAATAGAGGAACTAAACAATTATAGCAAATTTCTTACAAGTTTTCCTTGGAGGTCATTGTCAAGGCAATCCCCAGTAAGCACAGGACGTTTTTAAAACGTTTTAATTCCGTTCAATTTACGGTCGGACGTTAAAAGAACCAATACAATCGTTTTTAGAACGTTTTTTTCAAACGTTTTTTTTAATGTTAATTTAAACGTTTTTTTAGCGTTTTTTAAACGTTTTATTTTTTTTTATTAACTTACGAAATTTCTCAGTTAGCTTATGAACGTTTTTAAAACGTTTTTTTAACGTGATAAAAAAACTTTTTTTAAACGTACAGCACGGCAATATTTAAAAGAGTATGTTTACTCAAATAATGGCGTGACCTTCGATTAGGCGAATTGATTTATTTAAGTAAAAATTATATAAATTAGTATATATTTAAATCAACCAAGTGTTTGTATTGTTTTTTTGTAGAATTAAATTTGAAAATATATTGGAGTATTTTTAGTTTAAAGTTGTATGCCTTCGTTGAAACTAGGTTGTGTTTGTATTTCTACTTGAATCAAGTAGATATGATTAATTTTACTCTAATAAGTAACTTAATTGTTGAGTAAACTTGAATGCTTAAAAAAACTAGATTAAGTTTTTAATTCTACTTAATTTTCAACTGCTTTTAACGCAAAAAAATCTATTTGGATTTGAGAAAAGGGAACAACATTCTCAGAATTTTTCTTCTTTAACTCTAAAAATTAAAAATAATATCAGTGGTTTTTATAAAGGAATTACTATAGTTAAAAAAAGCTGAAAGGAAAAAATATGATGATTTGTTTCAAGAAAGGGAGTGACTTACTTCAAAATGTCATTTTAAAATTTTTATTCTTTAATGATATTCTGGTGTTATTACCAAATGTTTAGCAGTATGAAACCTATAATATTATATACCATACTATATACCCTATTTTACTTATAAAGTTAATAATCTGTAAAGTAATTTGTAAAAAAATTTTAATTGTAAAATTGCTACATGAGAAGACAAGTTGTTAGATGAAATTCAAATATTCTCTATGTTTGTGTTGTGTAGGTCAAAAAATAATAAACAAAGATGATATTGATTGTGATGACCAAGAGATTCATTTTAAGACACATCAATCTTCATCATTTTTAAATAAAAAGGATAAACATTATGGATTTCCATTATCTCAAGCAAGTAAGTCTTTAGTTAAAAATAATAATGTAATGTTTGTTGTAAAATGCTAACATGACTGTCAATATTAAAAAATATCATTAAAATGATGAGGTTCCAATTTTAACTTTAAATAATCACCTTCATGAAATCCATTATTTCAATATTATCAAAACTATAAATCTATGGAACAATCTTTCTTGTCTAATCCGAAATCTGAGAAAAATGCTAATATATATAATATAACATTGCCACTATTAGATATTTTACTGTCTATTAGTTTTTCTTTGATTTAGGCTTAGACCAGTAAAGACAATGTAAAATTTAATTAGTGTAAATTTGTTTAGACTTTCAATATTATGTGTTGCTTCTCTTAAATAAGATAAAAACTCAAGGATGCAAAAAACTTAATATAAAATAGTGTGAAGAAAAAGTAGTAACTGAAATGAACAGCATAATAGAATTTGATAAGTTTGACTCAGCACTTGACAATGTTTCATCTAGTAACTCAGTAGTATCTCTGCAGTTGTAAATTGCTAAATACTGATTTGACAGATTTTTCTTTTTTTTTTTAATTTTCTTTACAATATATAATTTTTACTACTTAATTAGGAATTGTCAGATTTCCATTATTTCTTTCTATTAGAAACAAAGAGTTCAAAATATTAGTGGTAAGAACTGTCAAAAACTTGTGATAGCTATGATGAAGAGGTTAGTAAATTAAAAGTGCATTCCTATAAATACTCTGTTTAATTTTATAATGATATTACTCCCATCTTACAATCCATTATACAAATCCCATGCATGGCTCTACGTTAGCCGTTTTACCATAATGGGATGACTGAATAACCGTGAATTTTATACGCGCAAACTAGCACATGTGCGAAGCAGTTACAAAAACTGGCACAATGCCAAATGGCATAAGAACAAATGGGCATAACTGCACAAAAAGAATTCCAAACATTGGCATAATTGCAAACTGCTATAAGTACAAACTGGCATATGTGTAAATTGGCATAAGTGCGCTAAATAGATTTACAAACATTCGCATAAGTGTGAATTGCCATAAGTGGGAACTGGTATAAGTGTGAAGCAGTTGCAAAAACTCCCAAAAGTGCAAACAACATAAATGCGAACTGGCATAAGTGTGCCATATAAATTTGCAAAATTTAGCATAATTCCAAACTGCGAATTTATTACACACATTTATGTCAGTTCGCACTTCTGCCAGTTTTTGTAACTGGCAGAAGTGCGAACTTATATATATTTATATATATATATATAAATATATATATATATATATATATATATATATATATATATATATATATATATATATATATATATATATATATATATATATATATATATATATATATATATATATATATATATACATATCCGCCTATATATATATACATATATAGGCGGGATAGTATATCTATATACCGAATACTAACCTGTATCCTATATATCACCTCATCAAGCACTGAGTATATATATATATATATATATATATATATAAATATATATATATACATATTATATATAGGCGGGATATGTATATATCTATATATACCGATATACTATACCTGTATCCTATATATATCTCCTCTATCATAGCACTGTGTATATATATATATATATATATATATATATATATATATATATATATATATATACAAATAGTATTGCGTACTAAAGTAAGCAATCTGACGTCATACTGAAATAGCCTGCTGCTGGGGGCTTCAGTACATACATCGACTGACAAATAGCCTGACTCGCAGTCCACTGCGAGTCAGGCTATTTGTCAGTGCTGCTACATCGATTGAGGGTCTGGGATGGGAAAGCAATCGTTTTATTCATCATTCTTTGTTTTTTCTTCTTTTTCGAAAAAAACGGTAAAGCTTAAGGTAAGCAGAAAAAGTGAGGAAATGCTTATCAAAACACGTTTTAGTAAGTGTATATACAGTAGCTTTCATAAACTTAGACGCATTCATTTTATTTTCATATATGTAAGAAAATACTCAAAATAAAAATAAAATAAAAGTACTACCGCTATGTTTGATATATAATTTACAAGAGGAAGTGAAACTCTATTTATGAGTACCTTAATTTTTTTTTTACAGGATGTTTATTACTCATTCTATACCGATTAACACAAAAAAGTTAATTGATAAGCTTGATTTTATTTTGTTCATAAATTTAGACGCACAACCAAAAAAGTCTTATATCTTGTTAATTGATAGTTAATTAGTAGTTTTTTCCCCATATTTCTCATTAATAGGCCTAAATTAATTGATTTTGTCAAAAAACCTTATATAAATATGACTTACCTGGAATTAGTTAATCATTATTTAATAAATAAACAAAAGTTAAGTTAGTTTTGCACTAAAAAGACGCGAAAAATGGGCAAAAGACGTATCACTCAAGGTGAAAGATGACAAATTATTGCGCACATCAAAGAAGGAACCAAAAGTAATAGAAAAATCACCAAGTTAATTGGAGTTTCTAAGAAATGCGTTCGGACAACGAAACAAAACTTTCTTCACACTGGTGGTGCCAGCGAGAAAAAGAGGCCAGGTAGACCCTTGTCAACCACCAGAAAGGACGATAGTGTTCATTTTAGAGCTGTCAGAGCTAATCCAAGAATTAGTTACAAAGAATCAACCACAGAATTCAATAAAACGCCAAATACATCTATTTCTCAAAGCACAGTCCGCCGAATACTTCTCAAATACAAGATCGGAGTCTACACTGCTTTGAAGAAACCGCTTCTGCGTCCATATAATAAACAAAGGAGACTAAAATGGTGTCGTGAAAGAAGGTATTGGACAATAGAACAATAGGAAAACATTATGTGGAGTGATGAGAGTAACTTTGAGCTTATCAATCGCAAATCTAACATAACAGTCAAAAGAATGGCTTATGAAAAGTATTACGCCAGGTACATAAGACCGACTGTACAAAGTGGAGGAGGCTCGATAGGAATCTGGTCATGCTTCAATTACAAAGGTGTTGGTATGTGCCAAACATACACCGGAAGAATCAACTCCAGAATATACGTATAAGTACTGGAAAACAACTTAATTCCATCAATTGACCTGCTTATGCTCAATGATAAACCATGGAAACTTCAACAAGATGGCGCTACTGCACATACTGCATACTATACAAAGGAGTGGTTCAACGATAATAGTATCATGACAATACCGTGGCCTTTATACTCTGATTTAAACTCGATTGAAAACATTTGGGCTTGGATTGACCGTGAATTAGCAAAGGTTCAAATTTCCACACTTACTCAGCTGAAGGAATTCCTTAAGGAGACCTGGTATGGGTTCCCAGAAGCGATGTGCAAAAATTTTGTTGAGTCTACGCCTAGAAGAGTTCTTAGTTGTACTAAAGCAAAAGGCGGATACACAAAATATTGATTGGTTCATAAATTACGCCTTCTAATGTATCATGCGTCTAAATTTATGAATAATTTTTTTTTGTCTAATTTTTTTATACCATGTAGTTGTACCTAATTATTACTTAGTATTTCATTTTTTTTGTAAACTTTTTTTAAGTTTTGTATTCTGTATGTATTTATCTAATAAATAGAAAAAAATACTAAACCAAAATCTTTTTTTGTCATTGTTTTATCGTTGAAAAACTAAAAATTTCTATTCTCAAATAAAAGTGCGTCTAAATTTATGAAAACCACAATATATATGAATATATATATGCAATGTGATACAAAATACAAAAATATTTAAACCTAAAATTTATATATATATATATATATATATATATATATATATATATATATATATATATATATATATATATATATATATATATATATATATATATATATATATAGTATATATATATATATATATATATATATATATATATATATATATATATATATATATATATATATATATATATATATATATATATATATATATATATATATATATATATATATATATATATATATATATATATATATATATATATATATATATATATATATATATATGCAATGTGAAGTTGTATATATATATTTTTAAAACATATATTTGTAATTTAAAAACTTATTACTATTATTATACTATATATTATTATTATACTATAATACTATTATTATTGTTCAGATTGTCTGTTTTAAATATATAGTTTTTTCTTTTAGTTTGTGCATCGACTTCTCACGAATCATACACAGAGTCGATTGTCGATGCAATAATTGCTGATTCGTGAAAACGGGCAACTTTTGCTTGTCTTAAAGTGCCTTAAATCCATCCTTATAATATTACTTTCTTTGTAAATTGTTTTAAAAAATAAATTTAAAAATAACTTTTAAATAAATTTTTTATTTTTCTTGTTTTTTAAACCAACAGGTTCTTTTAAAAACAATTTAATAATAGTACCTATGGATTTTGGAAAATTTTCTAAAAAATAACGCGCCTAAATTATGGTTTTATTTAGGTTATTTGAAATTGTTTTTTAAACGTTTTTTTTAGAACGTTTTTTAAACAACTTTTTCAAAACTTTTTTTAAACGCTTTTTTAAAAACGTTTTTTAGGTATTGCCATTCAGAACGTTTGAAAAACGTTTTTTTTCTTAGTTAAAAAAACGTTTTAAAAACGTTCATGTGCTTACTGGGTCTGCTTGGTAATTGTTCCATTGATGAAACAGGAAGCCCAAACTCATCAAAACTTGCTTCTATATTGCCACACTGTTGTTGTGCTAAAAATTGTTGCAGAAAAAGTATAGTTTGATTATTTTGTTTAATCACTTCTAATAATATTAGTTGCCAACGATCATTTCCTAAATGTGAAGAAAAATAAAATAAATATATATATTTTTTAAATACGCATAATAATACTTTAATAAAAATAATAGTAACAAAAGTAACAAAATATTTTCTATTTATCTTAAATTCATATGAACAAACAAATTTATCATTTGCTAATGCATAAATAAATAAAACACATCTCCAACATGATGATTAACTAAATCAGGTGATAACTGCTCTACTTGCAGTGCTCTAGTAAGCACTGGCGATAATATTGATAATGGTAGTGTAGTTTGGTTGTTTATTTAAATATTTAAACTTAAATTGGTTCATGATTTTTACATGCACACATATGCAAACAGACAGCTTGCAAACCATAATTTAAACTTTAAAATTGTAAAACTATCAAGTTAAAAAAAAAAACTTTAAACCAACCTTCTTTACTAAAAAATAAATCGTATACATACAATCGATACTAAAAAATGATTAGGAGAAAGAGCAGATAGTAGATGATGTATTTTGAAGAAATCCATTTTGAATTACTATGCACAAGTAATGCATTATAAACATATTAGTAATATCAAATATTTTTCAAAACAAAATATGGTATATAATAAAAACATATTTCATTTTTATAAATGTCATTAAAGGCCAATTATAATTATTAACGTTAAGAATGTTGATGAATCATTAATGATCGGTAAAAATACATTTATTAAATTGCAAAAATCTAACCAAATTGCAACTGAGGAGGAGGAGTATATATATTCTTTATCCAGACCAGATTCAAATTTAAAGTGCACTCATTACACCCAAATTGCTAAAAAGTGTGTTGGATTGTGGTATAAAAGAGGTCACTTGTCTTGCATTCCTCTTTCTTATAGGTTTTGAATGATTAATTCTTTAATGCATAATACTTTGTAACAGAGCACATAAAATAAAAATATCAAAGTTTTGATAAATGTGAAAATAACCTAATAACATTTAAAGCCCATTTGGTTTTTATTTCTAATTTTCTAATAAAAATCAATTTAGTTTACAAATGCTAATCTAATTTGAATTATTAAAAAAAAAAGTAGTTACAATAACAGTGCACTGTTGTAATACATTAAATTCAGGTTTGCAATTTTTTTTTAAATTCTTCAGCTTGTTGTAGCCTTTCTAGAATTTCAGCTTCATTTTGGCATTCACACTCTACTCTTTTTATGTCAATATTTTTTGTGTGTGTGTTGACGTTTTGGACTCGAAAATATTCTTTTAACAATGTTTCAAGTGCAATTACTGTTTGATTCAATGCATGTATTACTGGTATTACTGGAGTTTTAATTAGAGCTGTAACGGATTTAATTTTTTACAAATAGGAGCCGGATTTGCCGGATTTCTACTAAAGATCCGGCCGAAATTGGATCCGGATTTCGAAGCAAAACTACAGGAGCCAAAATCCTGTACATTCCTACTTGGTGCTGAAAATGGTCAACAATGTTGACTATTCATAACACCAAGTGACCGTTGTTTTCTATTAAACTTCATTTTTGTTGCTAAAAGTTTTATAGCAATTTCTATAGAAATTAATAAACATTTTATGTAAATTCTATAGAGATTCTATAGGCCATATGTTTCTAAATTGTTGTTCATATGCTGTGCCACAAGCGGGCGTAGACTGAATAATTTCATCTATATATATTGTTATTGTAATGATGATAATATAAAAGATTTATCCAGCCAGGCTTGTTTTGCTAGATTTTCTGTGTTGCATTATACAACGTTAGCCGTTAGTCAGTGTTGTATGTAATGAGAAGAGTTTATTTGGAAATTATGGATCAACCAGTGTCACCACTATATAAAAAGGTTTCTAGGTCTCAATGCCTTTAAAACGCTCATCCAATGACTTGATTAGGATTGACTTCATAGTTTTTACATCTGCATTATTGCAAAATATTGTGTGTCTTCCCTTCATAATTTTTTGTTGCGTTGTTGTTTGAAATTAGGCTTAGCTAATTAAATTGTAAAGAAATGTAAGTACAGATACCAAAACAGATACCAAAAGTACAGATACCAAAATAAAGTTCATAGACTATAGAATTACTAAAAACATTGATTTGTAAAAATAAAATATTAAGTATAGATGTTATCACGGGCAAGAAAGATGTAATAATCTGACCAAAATTCAGAAATCTGTCCAAAATTATGCCGGATTTGCTAACATTTTGCCGGAGCCGGATTTGGGCCGGGTTTGTAAAAATAGCCGGATTTCTGCCGGAGCCGAAATTCGGTACAGCCCTAGTTTCAATAAGTTGCAAATGATATTTTGTTGATTGAGAGGGTGTGTTAAGATTTTTATTAGATTTTGTGTAAGTTGAGCTGTTGTAGACTGAATTTGTGGAGCCTCAAATGTTTTAGCAATTTGTTAATTATTCAATTCAGTAATTTGGATTTATTGATTTTGTCTATATTAAGTGGAAATAAACAAATATTTTGAAATCCTTCAATTAATTGTAATCGTGTAAATACTACATCACTGTTAAAAAGTTTGGCTTCCCCTACGGAAATATTCCATGGAATACCCATGGAATTCCATGAGTAAACCATGGTTTTCCCATAAAAAACTGGAACTTCCATGGGTGAATTTCATGAAAATTGAAATCCCATGATTTTTTTTTTAATAGCTTATGCTGCGCCGTGGTTGTTACGAATGCGCTTTTAAAGATGGCGTCGTAGCTCGTACAATTACGATTACTTTTAACTTGAGTAAACAATACTTACCGCATTCTTCTGTTTTTCTGTGTTTAATAAGACTATAAATGATATATTTGTTATAATGCATCACATTTATATGATTCAAACTAAACATACAGACATACTAGATATATTTATCATATTATGATGCATTATAAAATGGATTATTTTTAATTATATTTAATTTTACATCATTTATGCATATACTTATTTTAACTGTTTCCAGTAGCTTTGCATAACTTGCAATAGTATAGCAAGTATGTCAAGTAAACCAGTTTGAATTTTAATGCTTACTTGGCAAATTATTTGCCAAATAATTATTATTTGGTTTACAACAAATAAACGTTTAGTTTTAATCTACATTAAATAACAAGTGTATTAATGTTCATAGTGTAATCTAATGTACATTAAAACTTATATAATTATTATTATAAAACTTATATAACATATTAAACAAACTTATCTAAAATATTAATATACAAGCAGTATATCAGATTAAATTAGATAACTAAGATAAGATAATAAGATAAGATAACTAATGTACAAAAGATAACTAGTATAATCTTTTTTATTTTTTTTATTTTTATAATATCCTCAGATTACATAAAAATGCTTGAAGTTAATTGTATGGTAAATGTTCATTAAATAATTAAAAATTGTTTTTTTATGATAAATGTTCTATTCAGTTTTAGTTCTGTTAAGTTGTTTTTAGTTCTGTTAAGTTGTCAAAAGCTGTGAAAAAAATATATTGAATTGAGTTTAAATTAACCAGAAAAAATATAAACATAATCTCTGGGATTCAACTTGTAAGGATGTTCCAAGAACCACTTAGTTGGAGAAGGAAAACTTTGGTAATAGTTTAAAAGTATCAGAAAAGAAACTTAATTAATGCACAAGATTTTACTTCGTAGTTAAATATAAGCATATAAAAGCAATGTTTATAAATAATACACTATTATTTATTAAAATACAATTATTTTTATTTGTTTATATTTAACTAATGTAAAGTGCTCGTCTTTAGTTAAAATAAATTAATTTATGCACACACTTTGATATTTATTATGCTTTTACTTTACTATACTTTATAAATTACATATTTAATAAATTTGTTTTAAATAGTAAAGTAAAAATAGGCCGTGGATAGCCTACCGAAAGTCGGTAGCGGAAAAATAAAAATTATCCTACCGAAAGTTTTTTTTATTGATTGACAATATCACATGTCAAAATAAACAATATTTGTTATACCGTAAAATGAAGATAATTTAAGATATTATTTTTAAAAAACAAAAACGTAAAAAATGTAAAAAAATTAAATAGGATTTTCCATTAAATAAATAGAAATGACTGCCACCCCATACCAAAACCCTCAGTCTATGCATGTACACTACACAGCGCCTATCCCTATATTAGTAAATGTATGTACATTTCACTGCGCCTATCCCTAAATTAGTAAACGCATGTACATTTCTCGGTGCCTATCCCTAAATCAGTCAGTGTATAAACACTCCATTGCGTCTATTAATGCATTGTGCTATTCCCAGCGTATATCCCTAAATAATTTATTCAATTAATAAGCGTAATAAAACCTAAAAAATATGGAAAAAAACAATCAAAACGTAAAATACATTCCTTTGGAAGGATTCAAACCCGGAGCGCCTGCGTGCCGTGCCAAGCTAGTATCCGATACACTACTGAACAATACAACTGAACTAGTTAAAAGTATATTTATATAGCAATTTTATTGTGACACGTGATATTTCTTAACCAATAAAAAAAAACTTTCGGTAGGATAATTTTTATTTTTCCGCTACCGACTTTCGGTAGGCTATCCACTGCGGTAAAAATATACTAATTTTTTGAATTTAGTGGTGTGTGCATAAGTTCTTTTATTTCAACTTTATCATTTTATTTAAATTACTGCATTATAAGCAGGTAAAATTTATATATGTGTATAAATCTTTTCATTTTAAGCTTATCATTTCATTTAAATTACTACATTATTAGCAGGCAGATTTGACTTGCAATATAAATTTTTAATTTATTTATTTAGCTGTTCATTAACAAGTCCGATGCTTTATAATATATTTAAAGGTAGTAAGGAAGTGAAGAAAACAGGTTTGTAAATGATGTTGTACATCATGCAGATAGCTCAGAAGAAGAAGTAAGTTTTTTTTTTAATTACAAAAATAAATATATAATATAATATTTGTTGCTGCCTTGTTCTATATAAATGTTTCTAACATGCAGGTAACATTTATATATGTATTAGTTTGGATAAATCATTTTAATTAAGTTATAATGTAACTTAATTAAAATGATTTATCCAAACTAATATATATATAAATGTTACCTGCATGTTAGAAACATTTATATAGAACAAGGCAGCAACAAATATAGGCTGGAATGTTTGACTGGAAATATAAACAATATTGTACATAATGCAGATAGCTTAGGCGAAAAAGAGGTAATAATCTAATAATTGTTATTTATAAATAATGATATATTCATTGCTACTTTTTTCTATATAAATGTTACTTAACATTTGGCAGCATTCATAATTGTGTATAATGCCTAATTATAAAGTAAGTTATAATAGATAATAATTATTAGTAAAATGAATCAGTAAATAAAGAAAACTAGTTAGAATGTATATAATAGTTGTATGATGTATTTTCTAGATTGGTAAAATGGAGAATGAGACTAACTACGGTGAAAAAATAATGAATATCAAAATGTGAATGGTACTTTGTTTGACATCTATCTGTTTCTACAGACACAATGCAGTGGTACTTATAAATGGGCTTGATGTTTTTTTGGATTGAATATGTTGTATTGATGGTTCTTTTTAACTTGTTAAAACTTTAAGTTATTATCAAATTTATATATAATATTTTTATCAAATAGTTAATATAAAATAATAAGCATGTAAATTGTTTTATTTTCTGTAAAAAAAATTTTCTTGATATATTTCAATTGTTTATCACTATGTATATCACTTACATGTATTACTTGTAATTTTTTGTTTTTTTTATTTTCAGTATGTTATACATATGCATGCATTAAATATTGTGGGGAAGTCAAGTTTTGATGTTTTAGGTGCATTATAGCTATTATTTTTCAAAGATTTGTAGGATTTAACAAGATTTAAATTTTATTTTGTTTATTGATTTTACTCGGAGGAAGCGATCCCATAGATTAAGAGAACTCAATAATATTAGTGTGATAAAATTTGCTTTTATGATTTAATATGAGAATTCAAATAACCTTGGATCAAAAAAAACTTGAAAACAAATCATGCTTTTTTACCATGAAAAATCTATGAGTTTTCCTTGAAAAGGTGTTCCTAATACCTATGAAAATTCCATGGTTTTTTCCATGGATGGAAATCTCATTGAATATCCATGGTACTTGGAACACTTTTCCATGAAAAACTTATGGAATTTTTCATGAGAAACTCACGGATTTTCCATGAAAAACTCATGGGTTTTCATTGAAAACTCATGGGTTTCAAATAGGAAGCTCATGGATTTTCTATGGAAAACTCATGGGTTTTCATTAAAAACTTATGGGGATCCCATAGGAAACTCATGGATTTCCCATGGAAAACTTATGGGTTTTCCATGAAAACTTGTTCCAAATAACCATGGTATTTCCATGGGTTTTTTCATGGGAATTTTCCGTAAGGGTTGAAGCCGAACAAAACTTTCTTTTGATAAATTGCTGCTTAATGTGCTAGCATAATGCTGTTGTAATAATTTTCGCCAATTTTTTTTGGCATGACAATATACTCCCACATCTGATGGTTGAAGTATGTGGGAGGAGTGAGCTGGTAAGCATATTAACTTGTTATTATTCTCAATGCAAGTTATTGGAACTTGATATGTTACATATGTGTTATGACCATCCAATACTAATACATGTGTACCTGGAGTTTTTTTAATTGTTGGTATAAATCATTTATTAAGCCATTGCATAAATCGTTAATCTTCCATCCATCCTTAATGTAAAGTTGTATATTCAACATTTGACGGACCACCTAAACACCAACTGCTGTATAGAAGCTGTTTTTACTTAAATATTATAAATGGTCGAATTGTGGTTCCAGCTGCGATGATGCAATTACCAACTGTATAATTTATTTTTTGATTATTACCGACCAATTTTAATGGACGTTTAGCCCCAAGTCTGCAAATTATTGATTTTCTGCCTTGGTCACCGGTGTTTTCCGGTGACCAAGGCGGGAAAATGGGATTGAACGCACTATTTTCATTGATATTTGCTTCAAGAAATTGCTTTTCACATGTTTGAAAATATTTTGCTATATTTTGCTAAATAATTTCTTTAGTGCAAGATGCTGCTCTCAGTGTTGATAAGTTGCTTGCAGCTCTAATGCTTAATATGTGTCTCCATCTGTTAATAAAATGATAATACCAGTCTTTTCTGGGTTGGCCATTTTTAAATAATCTGGTTTGATTTGTAACTTTTAAATAATCGGCAACAATATCTATGGTTTCCCTTTGTGTTCTACAAAAACTCGAATCTGAGAATTTTGGCAGCATTTTTAACAATATTAAATCAACTGAACTACTTAGAGTTGTTGCTGTACCAGACCCCATTCAAATTCACACGATTTTTTAAACGGTTTGACAAGTTACCTTTTGGAACATTGTATATTTGAGATGCTTTGAATAAACTTATTTCACTGCTATTTATTCTTCCAACCGCGATACTTATTTGCTCCTCTAAGTATTTTTTTTGAATTTTATTTTTATGATGTCTTGGTATTTCGAATTGATTTTGATTTTGTTAACTGATTTAAGTTCATTTAGATTTTTTTAACAGATTTAAGTTCATTTTGTTTTGTACAAGAAATGATTATAAGTAATTTGTAGTAAATAATAAGAAATAGTAACGATAAAAAAAGGTAATTATTGGTAGAGTTAAAATTTTCAAGAGGGGCAAGGTTGGCTCAAGGAAGACAGCCTGCTTCTGATGCACCCCATATTCTACGTTTATGATATATATATATATATATATATATATATATATATATATATATATATATATATATATATATATATATATATATATATATATATATATATATATATATATATATATATATATATACGTTTATGATATATATATATATATATATATATATATATATATATATATATATATATATATATATATATATATATATATATATATATGTATATATATATATATATATATATATAAATATATATATATATATATATATATATATATATATACATATATATATATATATATATATACATATATATATATATATATATATATATATATATATATATATATATATATATATGTGTGTGTGTGTGTGTGTGTGTGTGTGTGTGTGTGTGTGTTTGTGTGTGTGTGTGTGTGTTTGTGTGTGTGTGTGTTTCTGTTGACATGTGTGTGTGTGTTTCTGTTGCCTTATGTAGTCAACATGTTTCTGTTGACTACATAAGGCAATATAAATTAACAGTGAGCTAAGTAATAATATATTTGAAATAAGGTATGTTTTTTAAGTTGTTAGAACTAAATATATAACTTCTCGTTATATATTTAATTGCCACACCTTTTGCACTTTTATTGCATAAGTTTTCGATGTCATTTATCCATAAACTTTATCAATGAAAAATATTTCTCATGGTAGAATATATTTTTGGAAGCTTGACAAAAAAGATTTTTTTTTCAAGCCTTCAATACGCCCCGTACCCACTGGGATGTTATTGATGTTATTTAGGATAGAAAAAGTTTTTATATAATTAAGGTATCAACTATTTTAACTATTTTCATGTCCAACTATTTTATTTCTATTTCTGTTAAAGAAATATGAAACAATCGGATTTTTTTAAGATTTTACTAGTTCACAATAATCACCTTAATTATTCGGAACTTATTTTTCATAATGCGTAAATACTTTATTTTAGACTAACAATAGATATTTCATTCTCTCACTATTAGGGGAGAGTAAAATATCTATGGTTATCAATTTTTTTTTAAATTAATCAAACTTGATTAATTAAAAAATTTTTTTTTAGTTAAATAGCTACTTTATTGGGTAATATTATAAAATTAAAATAAATTGGATAAAAATGCTAATAATCTATCATACACCTTTTTTAAAAAAAAGAGAGAAATCAGCTATTTCATAACATCTTGTCAATGAAAGAGCCACTCTGTGCTATGAATGAGCCGTAACGTTTTTTCTAAAACTAACAAGTCTTTATTTAGTAATAATTTGTTAACTAGACTTCCAAAAATCAGATTGTACTTTAAGTTATATAATTTTTTGATAATCAATGATAAAAATGATAAAACAGCTTTAATAATAGTTTCACTATATTATTAAAAAACTCAAATAACGTCAACGTCGCTTTTCGTAGTTAATACTTCTGAAAAAATGTTTTTTTTTTTAAAGATAAAAAATATTAAATGAGAATGAAAAAAACAAAAGTGTTAATATACACTAGTCAAAGCAGGCGCGGATCTAAGAGGTGGCCATTGTGGTCATGTCCACATAGTTTAAAGTCAGATTGATTTATTAAAAAAAAAATTATTTAATGCTAATCAAAAATCTTTTAGATTTAGAATTAATTATTAAGATATTTTTAAATATATGTAATTGAAAACGAATTTAAGCAATTTTAGGACTTGCTTATCATTTTTCGTCGTTGATAAACTACGTCACGCTAAATTTAAATTTTAAAAACGCTGTAAACATCCGCTATATTATTTCAAAATTCTCAGTAATAGAAAGTCAATAATACTTATAAACTCTGCGTGACGTACTTTATGGATAACCCTTATTGGCTTATGGCCATAGAGATAGAATTTAACGGCAGCCAACTTAGCTTTGGATTTTTTTGCTAGCCTAATATTCCTCAAAATTTCTTTGCGTCTGCCGTAATTTACGTAATTTGGCTATAGAGATTCTTGCCATGGCCACAACGGCTCCTGTTATACGTATCGACCTTTTATTCAATCGATAAACGCTCTCAAATAAATAATAAAATATAGATCTTTCTGAATGAAATCTGAAAATTAAACTTGGCCACACAGTTGGTTTTGACGTGTCCGATTTAGAAAAATGTTCTCTTATATAGTAGCTAACAAATTTGGATTTTTTATTCGCTACCGTGACATTTTCATTAAAATCGTTTTCCACATTTCTTTAGAAACTAAGATAGCGTGACTTTAATAACTTGATTTTAAAATTTTTTATATGAATCCATATTTAACTGAAGAACTAGTTGCTTGTGCAATAGAAACAAAGCATAGGTCTAATGTCTTAACTAAAGACTAGATTAAAGAGCTTTCGGAAATAAATTTAATGTTTCTAAGAACACACGATTCTTACCAATTTAATACAGATATGATGGATTTTGTACCCTTAAGTAAAAAAATCTTGGTCATTCAGCATTAAGGTATTTTTTGTTTGTTTTAAGCTTTATGAAAGTATTATTTAATTAAAATGATATCACAAATTGGATCTAGATGTAAAATCAATGTTAGATTTTAATTTTATTTTCTGGTGCTAAACACCAATAGAATATAAATCTGTGTTAATAATTAGTTAAACGTTTCACTAATTATTAACACAGATTTATATTCTTAATAATGTGTATGAAAATGAATTATTTATTAAACATACAAATAACCTAAAAAAAGTGATTTAGTTTTTTAATTATGGTATATGGGTCATTCCACGCCAAGTGGTCCAGAGGTCTCCGCTCTACCATCTCCAATTTTAATAAAATTTTGTCAGCATGTTGTTAAACATGTTTCATGAAAATTGCCAAATTTTTAGATTAAAATGTTTATTATTTTGGGTTTTGTGGTACTTTTTGAAAGGCTTAACCAAACTTCAATATCAGTCTGTAGCTAAAACCAGCATTTTTGGGGTCTTATATTTTCGTAATGAACGGATAATATATCTTGAAACCGTGGTTTCTTAATTAACCGTAGGTGGAGATTACAAAAAAATTATTTTAAGTTTCATATTATGTCTACAATTTAGTGTATGGTTCACCAAATACCGTAACAAACTCAACACCATAAATTTGTTCTGTTTTTTGTAGGGTCATATCTCCAGAACAAAAGATTTTTTAGTATTGTTATTTTGTTTACAGGTTCTACATACTATCATAATAATATGAATCAAAAATCAGCTCTTTTATAAACGTCTTTTCTGAGTTATTTTGAAAGCAAAATAGCGACAAAAGTGAAATACCCTAAAATAACGTGTGTTTGAACCCCTAAAACTCAATGTGGGCAATAATTTTTTATTTTTTTATTTGCATCATTGGAAAGAGCTTATTTCACACTTCTATAAACAATAAAAATTATTTTGGAGAGATTTTTTTTATGAACGAAAAAAAAAAGATCAATATATACATTTTTTGAATTTTACGATTTTGTCCTAAACATAAAGATTTATCATACTGCATCAAAATCAAAGCTTGCTGTACAAAAAATCAAAATATTTTTATGTTCAAAGAATTTTTTTTAACATTTGCTTGAGTTATTTCAGAAAAGTAAACAAATCACCAAAATGTGAATCGCAATATTTAAAGTAAAAAAAGCTGCAAATAAGTGGGTTTTTTTTTTGACTGATTCATTTTAGTAAAAAATTTATTTTTGTGTATTTTGATTATATAACTATTTTATTTCCAAACCGATGCATTTTCAAAAAAGTTAGTCTCAAAAATAATAAAGAAGTTGATCTTCATTTTAGTTGATGGTACCAAAAAAGTTTATCCCTAATGACGCCTTGACAATCGTAAAACATTTGATTTTTTACAACAAGTATGTCTAAAAAAGGATTTCAAAAATTTAACAGTTATAAAAATACTGCGGATAAATATATGTTATTGATAATTTAAAATGCTAGAGAAGTTGAGGCAAAAAGTGTCCTTGGTGCAAGGCTAGTAAAATGACTGAGCCATACCATGAGAATTGTAATAGAATATCACCGCACCTTAGAATATACCGCACCAGGGAGCTTATTCACAACTCTTTTGTAAGTCAAAAGGTTTCGTAAGTTTTAGCGTAAATTCAAAGTTACGCAAAGTCATATTCACAAAGCAAAAACTTACGATATTCTTAAGTTTTTGCGTAAGTTTTTACTTACGCAAAAAATCAAAAAAACATTTTCCCAAAAAAAGCTCAGCAAATTTTACGCAAGAAAAGTTACGTCTGCTTTTGTCTGACTTACGTTTTTGCGTAACTTTAATTAATCTAATATTAAAAAATGGCGTTTTAATTACGCAGTGACTACAGTTACGTCTAGACGTATTCCTAACAAGAAAAGTTAAAGATACGTCCAAACTTCCGGACGCGGTAGGAAGGTTTAGACGTATTCCTAACAGAAAAAGTTAAAGATACGTTTAAACTTTCAGACGCGGTAGAAATGTTAAGATATATAACTAACAGAAAATGTTAAAATAAGTCTAAATATTCGGGCGCGTTAGAAATATTTATACCTATTGCTAACAAACAAAAGGTAAAGGTAAGTCGAAACTTTTGGACGTATAGAAAAATTTAGGTGAATTACTAATGAAAACAACATTGGAATAGGTTCTAATAATAGGAATAGGTGGAATAGGTGACCTAAATTTTAGCAATGAACGCAGCGTTGTAGGCAACCATTGCGTAGATATCAACCGTTTGGACTCCGACCGCAAAGTCTTGGTTCCACTTCGCGGCTTGGCTCAAAAACTCTTTTGGTAAGGTTGGAAATGGAGAGCTAATCTATTAAATGCTATTCTATATGGGGCGGTGGTCTGTGAAAAGACCATTAGGATTTCTCAGAGCACCTTATATTTTTTCATCAGCATTTGGATTTTTATTATTAATATTATTATTAATAATAATATTAATAATAAAAAAAAATTTATGCCAATATAACGAGAATTAAAAAAAACATTGGGCGATGTATGTATAAATACCGTATCCACATATATCCGTATACACATAAATGCCGTAAGCCATAAAACAGATTCCTTTTTTATAGTACTGTAACTGTCACGTGTAAAATGCGGAAATACAAAATGCTGAAATGCGGAAATTAACAACGGGTAAAATAAGGGAATTAAGCGTAGAAATTAGGAGTTGGAAACTTTAGTACATACATCAACTGATTTAGCGAGAACATGCAATGGAGTGCTACTACACTGAGTAGCAGTATCTTCTGAAAATAATAGTGTTATTTTTTTTTTATTGACTTATTCATTTATTAAAGAAAACTATTTATAATAAAACTAAATTTCTAAGAAGTAAGAATAATTTCTTTTTTTTGTCAAAGAATACATAAAGTATCAGCTTAAAACAGTCGTATTACTGTCAAATTGTCAATAAAGTTTGAGAAAGTACTTTTTATATTTGTTTATAAAAAATTTTAGTGTATTGTCAGCACATGTACACTATATTGCTGATATATGTTATCACTTTATGTAAATTAGATCGATTGCTAAGTTTTGCTACTATTACGAAGAAAGCTCGTTTAAAAAAATACAGTTTGACGTAGCAATATGAGGTTCAACGATCCCGGCTCCATGAAGTATATCATAATACTTTTTTAAGCATGCATTGACTAGCAAGACTTTAACACGACTTTAGCGCGTTCCTGAAGTCTGAAGTCCTCATTTAACGCACCTGCATATTATATTCAAAATTTGCTCATTAGGTCTTTACTAAAAACCTAAAACCGGACCCCAAGGACACTTGGGGTCCGGTTTTAGGTTTTTAGTAAAGACCTAATAAACTAACTAGTATTATTCTAAATGTAGCGGTCTCTAAAGCAATGGTAACTACGTACCATTGCTTTAGAGACCGCTACATTTAGAATAAAAATTATAAATTACTAAAATTACTAAAACTACTAAAACCTTGTTTATACAAAACAACTAAATTCAATAAGTATTAAATATTCCATAAATATTTTATAAATAGTAATTATATACATAAATATACATAAATAAGTTTTAAAAACTTTTTTAATATTACAGTTAATATTAATAAAAAACATGTAAATAAATAAAGTTTATTTCTAAATTTAACAACAATCTACTTTATCTACCAATAAATTTAACAACAATCTACTTTATCTACCAATAAATTCAACAATAATCTACTTTATCTACCAATAACTTTAAAAACAATCTACTTTATCTACCAATAAATTTAACAACAATCTACTTTATCTACCAATAAATTTAACAACAACCTACTTTATCTACCAATAAATTTAACAACAATCTACTTTATCTACCAATAAATTTAACAACAATCTACTTTATCTACCAATAAATTTAACAACAATCTACTTTATCTACCAATAAACTTCAAGATTCAGGGTTCAACAGACAAGTGCTACACTACCAATTTTTGTTTATCTTGGATGTCACCTTGACACAATTAAAGTGATACCATTCAAGACGACTGCTACACTCAATCGATTCTGTAGGAGCATTAAGAATACAAATTGGACAATTCCAAATTTTCATTGTTTTGCGCTTTAAAAAAAAGGCTCTTAAAATCTTCCACGCTTGTGCTGTAAGAAATGGCTTTAGAATTTCAAAAACAACTCAACTTCCATCATCTCTAATGAATCTCATTCATTAGAGATGATGGAAGATTTTTAGCATCTAATTTAAGATCTATAGTATCGGAAGGTGTTAAAACTGTAACATCATTAGGCCTTCCTCCTTTTAGCAAACGCAGCAACAAAACTAAAAAATAAAGAAAGAAGGAATTAGGATTTAAATTCATCATCTTGTGTGAAAAACAATATAAAGTTTGGAGGAGTATTTTTAATCAGTGATTTCGTTATCAAAGTCCAATTCAATTATAGGTACTTCTTAAAATTGTGGATTTTTGTAAAGGTTTCTAAAAGCAAATTCGTGATTATTGTCATATTAAAATCTGGATACATTAAAAAGAAAATCCAAATGCTGATGAAAAAATATAAATGGATAAATCCATTAATATTGAATTCTGAATTTAAAAAAATAGACAGAATACAAATTATAAATATAACAGTTTACACTTTGAATCTAAGCCCTAATAAACACAGTAGTGGTGATAAATCAGAACAGTAGTAGTGATAAATCAGCCGCCATCTTTCTTCTTAATTGCGAGGCCTGGAGTTAAAATAGCCTTGGTGAAATAATACAAATTATCTGCAACCTTTATTTTTAATATTACTTATCATCAACTTTTAAATTGCGTTTCAATTAATGACTTATTTCAATTATATTACAGTTTATTTTGTCTATATAGAATTTGCAATTTATTGGTTCCAATTGGCTAGTTACCAACTTTTGTTGGAGAGAGAACTCATAATTTTAAACTATATAATAGATTATAATTAAATAGTTAGTCAAATCAATTGATTAAACCAATGCCAGTTTTAAATTTCTGATTGATGACAAGTAAATAATAATGTATACTTACTATGAACTTTTTCTTTAACAGTCATCTGGTCAAGCAGATCTTCTGAACTTTACGCACACCAACAGCATTTTTTTTCTTTATTGACTTAGGACGCCCTCATGATACAAACTTGGATGGAAATTGAATTTAGGAGAAATCAAATTGGTTCTCCGGTATTTTAGAAGAATCACATGATTTTTAACATAAAAAACATAAAAAAGAAATTTATAACTTCTTTTTTATGTTTTCCAGTTTCTTTTCTAAATTCTAAAAACAATTGATCCTTAACAATTGATTCTATCCTAAGTGTTTATTTCATATAACATCTCTCAAAGGGACTCCCTTTTAGCAGGGGTCCCGGTCCGGCCCCTGCGAACCTGGCCCTGGCCCCAGCAAAACCATAAGATCTATCAGGGGTTAATAACTAGAGTTATAAAAAAAATTTAATACTTAATATAATTTTGTGCTCAGATTTACTTCTTATTAAATATTATTAAATACTATTTAATACATACTGGCATACATTTATATATTTTTAAACTCTAATTTACTTCCAACAAGATTGAAAGCAACCACTATTAAGTTATGAGTTACTTTAAAATAGAGAATAAGTTAAAATACTAGGAAATGTATAACTGAAGACTTAAAAAGTTGTAAGTTGCATAAAAAAAGAAAACATGAAGATGAGTAAGAAGTTTTTTTGATGTTTAAGGAATAAAACCGGATTAATAAAAGTTTTTATAGCATGAAGGGACAAATACAGTAAAAGAATGCAACTTGTTAAATAAAGAGGGTGAAGGTTGTCTACCATGGCTGTTTACTGAAAGTTTAAAACTTTTCTTTTTGCTCTGGGCCTTTTGTCCAATGGGTTCCATCTAGAACTACTAGTGTTGTTAAATTATTTCTTTGAGAAGCACCATCACTTTATCCTATCTAGCTAGTTCTACTGCAGTTTATTCTTTAAACTGCATTTTGTCATGCTTCATTGTGATAGCTTTTTTAGTTTAGGACGTTGCATACTTGATTCTGTAATCGGTGCTGTTCATTATCGCTTTCTGGTAAAGTTATTACTTTTGCACTTTGAACATAGTAAATGTGTTTTTAGACTTTGTCTGAGAGTAAGAGGGTTGTTATTTGTAAATATAGGATTGCCAACAATATTGCAATATTTTTTTGCAGTAAATAAATGAGATTTTTTTGCCTGTGGATTTTTAATCCAGAATTTACATCCATAAGTCGCTGGAAGCATTAGGCTCTTACAGAAGAGAGAGTAGATTTAAAATCGGCAGTTTATTCTAAGCAATTAAAAAGTGAAATTTTTTTGTCAAGACAAGAGTATAAAGTTGAGTCACCAGCAAATAGAGCCACTTTAGATTTCATGAAGATCATTGTTGTAGATAAGAAACAATACAGGAGCAAAGATAGAACCTTGTGGTACCCTTAAAGTTACTTAAAAAAAAGAAGAGAATAGAAAATGGTAATGGTAAAAGTAAGAACATTTGAAGAGATTGCCATACATATTGTATAAATGAGCTTTAGTTAAGAAACAGTGATCATCATCAGCCATTAACCTTCCTCTTTTATGCTGTTGCTGATGATCATCATGATCATGATGATAATAATGATGATGTTTATGATGATCATGTTGATCATAATGATGTTTATATATGCCTATATACCCAAAATATAACATAAATTTTAAATAAAATAAATATACTTTAGGGTGTTTAAATGTTTATGCAACTCCGGTCACAAACCTGGCATCCAGCTATGGTTTATCAATCACTTACTAGCCTCAGGTAAGTGTAGCAAGCAAGCAAGTATACCAGTGTGATGAAAGATGTGTTGTTCAATGGTGAATCAATGTGAATATTAGTTATTTGATTCAATATGCGAGACTGCTTAAAAGCCTGGTAGAAGAAAAAAAACATATACTACCTGAAAAAGATGTGTAAGATAGGTGGCAGTTCTAAAATGATTGGATGGTAGTGAATGAATGGTAAAACTTTAAAAAACCTTGTTACATATGGAAAAAGTCTAGAAATGTCTTGGCTAAGCTATAGAAAGAAAGCTTAATCACATAGGCAGAAGTTATTAGAAAAAATAGTTGATGCAGAGGAAAAAATATTCAGTTGTAAAGCAAAACATTTAGAAAAGTATACACATTGTTGGAGAAGGTTGTGTTAAGATACTAAATAGAAAAATAATTACAAAGACAGTTGCATTGAAAACAAGGTAGATTGCTAAACAAAATGGGCATAATGAAAACAGTTTATCTGTTGTGAATAATGTTAATGGACCAACAAATTGAAATAGCTTTTGGTACAGCTTTATTAGACTAGCCTGTTGATTCTCCTGGTGTATCAGCTGAAATGTTGAGTTTCAGATGATGTGGGTGTAGAGTAAGTGTCACATGTCAGATGAATTACATTTAGGTTAAATCTCAAATGATTATAAAAAAATTTAAATAAAAGTTTATAAAAGGTGAAGACGTACTAGAAATTGAAATGAATATCAATAAACCACAGTTTGGTTTAAGACCATGAAAGGGAACAACAGATGCAATATTCATTTTAAGGCAAGTTTAAAAGTTGTTTTTTAGAAAAGTAAAAAGATTAATAGATGTACCAAATGTGCCCAGAGTGAGTGAGAGATGGTAATGATTGTATAACGTATTAATTTTGTCCTATTTCTATTTTGTTTTAGTGAAAAAAATCTGATTTTTTATTTATTTACAATGTTAAAAAAATACAAGTTACATGTATAAAGTTACAAGAAATAAATATAGTCAAATCTATAATACCTTTACAAAAACAAAACTATAAAGTTTTGAACTACGTTGCTTTCAAATTCATTACTGCAACCTGGACTTTCAAACTATAATTGGAAATAAAACAATTTATCTTCATAAAATAAATAATTTTAATAAGGAAAATAAATAAAAGTATACCATATCGTTTGGAACTACATTGCTTTACACTTCACTGAAACCTGGTCTTTCAAACTATAATTGGAAATAAAACTATTTACCTTAATAAAATAAATAATTTTAATTAAGAAAATAAAGGAAAGTATACCGTAAAGTTTGGAACTGCAATGCTTTTAACTTTACTACTGCAACCCGCTCTTTCAAACTATAATTATAAATAAAACAATTTAACTTCAGAAAATAAGTAATTTTAATAGGGCAAAATAAAAAATGTATACAATATAGTTTTGAATTGCATTACTTTCAACTTTATCACTGCAAGCATGCCTTTTTTCCTGTGGTAGATGGAGATTTTGATTTCATTTTTTGCAAAATGTTTCTTAATAAAAGAGCCCTGCGAATCACAATTTTTAGTTTCAAATCAAATCACGAATCGAAGCAATTCTTGATTTGCAAATCAAGTTGAATCACAAGTCCAATTACCACTTTAAGGAAATCTAAGTTTAACTAAAATATAGATATCCTCAAAAAGCTAATTTGATACGAGATTCGACTTGCGAATCAACAGCTGATTCGATTCGGATTCAATACCTAAAAAGGTAATTCGCATTACGATAAGTGAAATAAATTTAATATATAAATTAAGTAATTCATCCTTATTCAATTTTAATAAAGAAAAATTCGAAAACCAGTTAAAACCGTTTTTAGGGGGAATTTAAAATTCGAAAACCGGTTTTTCAAAAAGTCGGTTTTTGTCCAAACCCTATTTCAAACTATAAATGGAAATAAAACTATTTACCGTCATAAAATAAATATTTTTAATAGAGAAAATAAACAAAAGTACACCATGTAGTTTGGAACTGTATTGCTTTTAACTTCTCCACTGAAACCTGGTCTTTCAAACTATAATACGAAATAAAACTATTTACCTTTATAAAATAAAAAAATTAAATTAAAAAAAAAAAAAAAACATCTATCCTTGATACATGTAGTTGGGTTACTGTTGTATCTGGAAAAAAAAGCCAGTTGAGCAATTAGCTGTTGAAAAACTGTTGGCTGTTCAACAGACTAAAATCAAGAGCAGAGAGAACAATGTGAACAATGTAATCATCTATGGCGTGGAAGAACCAAAGAAAGATTCTGTAACTCAAAAAATCAAAGATGACAAGCTGAACATCCCAAACAAGATACTAAGTTAATTAGTCAGGCCAAAGATAGATATGAAGTTATTTCAATTAGATTTAAATAAAACTATTGAGTGGTCAAAGAAGTGGCTCGCCAAATTTAATACTGATAAATGTGTAATTATGCATTTAGGTATAAAAAATATTAAGTATGAATATTCTATGGACGAAAATCACTTAGAAAGACAAACATAGAAAGAGATCTTGGAGTTTTATATTGTTATATATTTATATTCAAACTTGAAATATAAAGATCATATAATGACTTGTACCTCAAAAGCAAACAGAATGATAGGGATATGGAAAAATACTTTTTCTATAATTGACATACATATGCTTAGGTTATTGTATACAACATTATTGAATTTGCAGTGCTAGTTTGGTCTCCTATATATTCAAAGGTGAAATTAAAGCTTTAGAAAGAGTGCAACATTACTTTACAAGATTTATTATTTTATTGAGGAATTCGACATATGGCGAAAGATTGAAATGACTAAATATTACAGATCTTTATATGCAAACTATAACTACTACTATTACAACAACAACAACAACAACAACAACAACAACAACAACAACAACAACAACAACAACAACAATAACAGCAACAACAACAACAGCAACAACAACTACTACTACTATATAGTTTTGAACTGCAATGCTTTCAATTTAACCACTGAAACCTTGTCATTCAAACTATATTCGGGAATAAAAAAGTTTAACTTCATAAAACAAATAATTTTAATAAGGAAAAAGAATGAAAGCATACCATATAGTTTTGAACTGCATTGTTTTCAACTTTACCACAACAAGCTGGTCTTTCAAACTGAAATTGTAAACGAAACAATTTACCTTCATAAAATAAATAATTAAAAAAATAAGTCAAGTAAACCACAATTTACTTTATAGTTTTGATCAAAATTGTTTTTATCAATTTCTTCAACATTAACAACATCAACAACTTGCTCACTTAAATCTGTTATTTCAAGCTATAAATGCGGTAGTGGTGTAGTGGTAGAGCGCTCGCCTTAAACGAGTGGTTCCGAGTTCGATCCCCACCACGTCCCTGGTAGTACCGCGCTCAACTCGTTTCTCCGCGCAGCTGCTTTGTTCGTCAAGGTTTGTGTTTCGGAGTTACAGAGTAGAGAGAGGGTTATAGCCACAAATAAGTAGCCTCCTCGTCTGTAGTGGCCTTCTCGGCCTTGAGGAGGTGAGTTAAAATAAAAAAAAAATAAAAAAAAAAAAAATAGGAGAACAAACAATTATGAATACTAAAATACTTAAAAATTTATAGGAGCCAAATTAGCAATTCAAATGTCAATAAATCTTAAAGTGTTAACATCTTACTTTTCTTTCATACAGCTTAGACTTAAATTTATCATCTTCCATTTCCAACTTGGAAACTCTGTTTTGAATATTAAAATTAACAAATTGATGTTGAATTGAAGTTACCATAGCTTCCTTGTTATAACCCCAAACACTTGCTAAATTTTGCAAGACCATCATTCTACATTCAAACTGTGATGATCCGCTTTCTGCTGCTAAATCAGATAAATGCTGTACAAGTTGATTAGCGCGACAATATTTTTCTACATGGGTCAAGGGTTTATCCTTTAGCTTTGCAAATTTTATATGGCTATCATGTTGATCCTTCTTTAGAAAAACGCGATGATTTTTCTGCACTGTTTCCTTAAACCAACTAGGAGCAGTACAATTTTCAGAGAACATTTGCAATTTCTTAATTTAACAAAAGAAAAAGCAAACAGCATTAATATATTTTTATAATCACGTTCATATTGAAAACTTGTAACTGCACTAACAGGAACCCGTTCTGTTGTCTTTATATATTTATGTCTCTTTCTTGTCGCATGCAGGCTATAACAGTAAGCAAATCTTTGAAGAATATAGGTAAAGGACTTAACAAAGAAACAACAGCTTTAATTCTACGAATAATAGATTCAAGACGATTAGTAGTGCATTCTCCAAAAGTTACATTTTGTTGCTGCCAACAATGCACCCACTCGAACCTACAAGCATGCCAATTAACTTCAATATACTTAACAACAGATAGTGGCATAACTTTGTGAAACTCATCACGCAACGTTTCATATTCCTTCTCAGTAGTTGCATATGTCATATTTTGGAGAGCTTTTAAAGCAACCAGTCTTTGAGCTTTAAATATATTCATTTTTGATATTGTTATTTCTCTGCTCATACAACGCAAAACATGAAATATACACAACAATAAATTAATTTGTGGAAATGCATGTTTAATGCATTCACGCTCTGTCATGTCTTTGTCAGTAAAAACAGATAATATCTTACTCCAGTTTATATTTTTTTCCTTGAATATTTCAAACATTGTTGAAAGAGAAACACAGTCTTCTAATGCAGTTAAAAATATAGCTGCAATTTCACTTTCGCCATTTGGTCCGACTACAAAAGAATGTATAAAGGCATTCTCAAATTAGTAAGCTTATAAGTTGCATCAACCAAAAGTTACTCGGTATATAAACCAAAAAATTGCTTCATTTCATAGTCTTGAAAAAATATTCCAGTTATGATACCACTTTTATCTGTTCTTAGTTCAAGATCTGGTCCTATTAAAAAAGAAGTTATATATTCAACAGATTTGTGCTTTATTTTAAATGAAAATCAAATTATATTGAAAAAGAACAACGGGGCAGAAGAAGCTCTGTGGTTAAAGAAAATACAAATTTATTAGGAGAACAAACTCTGGTGCATAATCCCCTCTTAAATGTGGATATGAAATTGCTCTTCATGAAGCTACTTCCTCAAGTATCAAATGTCAATAAATTATTTAATTTTAATTTTTTTTATTTATATGTCAATAAATTATTACACAAATTCTCAACATAATGAGTAAGAGTACATAATTACTGGATAATGCCAAAAAAAAAAAAAAGGTGCTGTTACCTAAATAATGTTGATTATAATTTTTTAATAACTGATGACTTATGATCAATAAAGTAAATTTCAAATCATAAAAATTTACTTAATTAAAACCATATTTCAACAGTAGGAATACTAAACTAACGTCATGTCGTAGTGTAGAATGTCAAGGAAGAACTAAAAAAAATAAGAATATAATTAAAGGTTGTTTAAACATGCAAACAAATCTTAATACAAGCTAATAAAAAATGCATTTAACTAAATAACCTAATTAAAACCTTTTTTTAGTTAAGATCAATTTAAATTCAACTTATTTTCATTATTATATTACAAGTTATGGAGATCTTTGAGAGTTATTTTTTTACCTAAGAAAAAAAGTAACATTATAAAAATAACATTATAAAAAGTTTAAAGAACTCCGAACTCTGTCAATGGAAATTTTTATATACTGGTTTTGAGGATAGGCTCCTTTTTTATCTATTATTTGCCACAGAAACTCATTGACATCTGTTGTTCTGATAAAAAAATAACATTATAAAAAGTTTAACGTAGAGTAAACATAAGTATAATAAGTAACCAATGCAACTTATATGTAAAAGTGTTAAAGAAAACCTGTTTCCTTCATAACTTGATCTTTAATAAGCCACTTGCTTCCATGCATACTCAAAAGGCGACAAACATCTTTTTCATCAGAACTTAATTTTTATTCTTTTTGGCAGATTGTTAAACAATTCCTATAAGTAGAAAAATTGTAAAATATCTAATGTATAAACTTTTTGTACCCTTATCATTTAGTCATTTACAAAATATCTTTTTTTGGGGAATAATTATATATATATATATGATAAATATAATATAGGAACCCTCAAAAAACAACTCATAAAATAAAATGATTAGAAAAACTAGAATTATTTTTTTTGAATTGATCTTGAATCAAAGCAAAATTTGATTCAGGAATTAAATCAAATTGATTCTCATAGCCCTAATATATATATATATATATATATATATATATATATATATATATATATATATATATATATATATATATATATATATATATATATATATATAGATATATATATAGATATATATGTATATATCTCTGTGTGTGTGTGTGTGTGTGTGTGTGTGTGTGTGTGTGTGTGTGTGTGTGTGTGTGTGTGTGTGTGTGTGTGCAAAAAAACAATATAGAAATGTTTAGCAAAATTATTAGCAGAGAATAACTTCCACATAGCTAATAAAAATAATTTAAACTAAGATAAGTAAAATACTGACTTTGTCAACAAAATGATTGTGCTCTAATACCAACTTTTGGATCCATAATTGTGAATTGTTTCCAGATACATTTATCCAGATTCCATATGGGCAATCTATCTGGAACGTGCTATCAATAGTAAATAAATAAAAATTATTTAATACAGTCATTTATGACATAAAAAGTTTAAAAACCAAAGTTTAAAGTTTCACTAGAAAAAAAATAAGGATTTTAGTGAAAGAAACTTTAATATGCCTACACTGCATGGTAAAAGTAAAGATAATAAATAAATCAAGTTGAGCAACAGCTTATTAAAATCCTAGTCTTTTTGAAATGAATATGTTTATATTAATAATATAAACATATTCATTTCGAAAAGATGAGAATTTTTCAAGTATTTAAACTTTTTTACATATTAAATTTTAAATGCTATGATATATTTAAATTATTTAAATAAATCAAAAAAATAATGATAATAATTACGAGAATTAACTTATTTTAACAAATTTAAGTTTCAATTTTGAGCCTGTCTACATTCTATTATCTGATTGCTTTAACATATATAAGATAGTATTTATATTACTTGTAATATAAATTTATTTTAAATAACATATACCTTTGATTTAAACTTTTAAAATTTTTCCCTCCATGATAGCATGCATAATGCATGTTATAAAACAACAAATCGTCATTTAAGGTTCGCTTGATGCCTTTTTTTCTTGCAGATGCAATGGATCTACTCTCTCGTTTATATAAAGAAACACTAAATTCTACTTTATAGTTCTTAATGGTTTTTTCTAAATCTTTTAAAGAGTTGAACTTATCACCAACATTCAAAGCCATTGTTAACGCAAATCCTTGATTTCTAAGCAATTTTTAAGATTAAAGTTTAACAAAATGCTCCTCTGCGTCCGAAAGTTTGGACGTATCTCTAACTTTTTTTATTAAAGATACGTCTAGATGTACCCGTAGCCACTGCGAGAATATCACATCATTCATATATTTTGTTAAAAAACAATATCGTAAATAGTGCTTAGAAGATTAGAATATCACATCACCTTCACAAAACTTAGAAATACACTATTATATGATTAGAATATCACATCACCTATGTATTTTGTTAAAAAACCAACATACTAGAAATTGTTTGTTAAAAAACAACATTTTTTGAACGTTCTTGTATTATTCGGACGTACTCGGTACGGTGATATTCTAAGGTGCGGTGATATTCTATTACAGGATGCATAAAATCAATGAAAACATCTTCCTGTTCTTCTGAAAATTCACAAACATTTCCAATCCACCAATGTGCATCGTAAATACATGCAACAAAATTTCCAGGACTAAGATCAGATAGTGAAACTAATTTGGTTGAGTTGTTTTGTAACTTTCATTAAAATTTGCAATGAAAGATGTTTTGTCATTTGAAATACGACTGATACAAACCTGATTTTCATTTACAGGTACAAATTTGTGATTATCGTGAGTACCTGCAGCTGTGTTTCCAGTACTAAATCGTTTCTCTTGATTGCCTTTTACACTGTTTACTTCATCACTGGCAACATAAATAAATGAAATATCCGTGACACTTTCCTTGCAAAAATTATATAATTTTAAGGGCGTTAAAATTTGATTATCAATTGGCCGTTGAAGACTGGCACGTGCTGCTAAACGCTTCACAGTTCCTCCAATTCCATTACAGGGAGATTTTCCCTGACTAGTTGCGAAGAAATTCCACTCTGCTTTAATGCCATAGTCAGTGTTATGGTAACATAAATTCATAAAGTTTTTGTACTGTGCAGCTGAACCGTCACTGAAATAATGAATAAGTTCAAAAGACAAATAAGTTTTAAGTTCAGCTATTAATTTACCAATAAATACATGAACAGAAATAGTATTGTGATGCATGCAATCACTGATAACACAATAACATGTATTTTTAAATATGTAATTAAGTTGATAGTAAACAATAAAAGGATGCTAAGTTGTTTGGCTGTTTTCCCAGTAAACTCTTGAACAGCATCTTGCACAACAAACGAATAGTTTTCAGAAAAATTCATCAAAATGATGAACTCATTTGAATTCAACTCATTTTTCAGTAATTGCAAATAGTTGTTTTGGTTTTTAGCAATAAAATGATGCTTAGATAATACAGATACTTTTGAAATTAATTCATCTATAAAGTTATCAACTGGTAATTGCAAAGATTCTAAAGTTTCACGATCTACTTTTACACATTGCTTGAATTTTATAGTTTCATCAGATTCGAAGTCTTTAAACTGCTCTTCAAGATAAACTTTTAAATTTTTAGTCCCTGGACATTTATCACAACGATGAAGCATATATTCTTTAGATTCAATGTCATAAACTATTTTTCAATCAGACATTTATAGTCTACTGTAACTGGGCTACTTGCAAGCATTAATTTTATATTTTGGTGAATAGTACATACACAAATACGATGAGTACCGGACAATCTAACAGATATACACTATTTTGGACATAACTCACAAAATTTAGAAAATCCAACTTCAGCTCCATTTTCTTTTTTATACTCCAAAAAAAGTCCCTTTAAGTTAACTAACAGTAATTTTTTTTGCATGTGCACTTTTTTAGCACCAATGCGCACAGATACAACATTCTTTTTCCCTGGACATATTCTGCTAAAAGCTTCGTGTTCGTAAAATTTCAAAATTTCTTCTTTAACATGTTCTGGCAATTTCTTTCCTGCATTTTTTTCTGGAAGTGCTAAGATTCCACTTTTCGCCTTCAACTTTTTTGCTGCTTTAGCCATTCTCTCTGATACTTTAAATTCACTACATATTTTTAAAATTTGAACTTTTTCACGTGGATTACTGGTTGTTGATATTTTATCCTTCAATTCTAGTATCAAATCTCTACACTTGCACTGGTTAGTGGTAGGGCATTATTCTTTGGTGATAAACCACTAACAGCAGCTATATTTTCTGCAACTGTTATTTGCACTTTCTGAATTTTACCTTTTACATAACTAGCATGATCTCTCTTACTAACATGTTTTCTTAAAGGTGATATTCCAATCTCAGAAAAGCTAGTATTAATAGTGTCAGTTGAACAAAATATATCATCTATGTCACCAATGTCGTCACTTTTTCACTTGAAGACTCCGTGGTTGAATAAGCTTTGCGGCAATTCGGACACAATTTTTGACCTGAACAAATAACTTTATTTGTTAACTTTGAAAGACAGTCTGCAGTCTCTAGGTCAATACATCCTAACCCTTTAACTGAGCAAGAAATGGCCACACCAAAAGAGTTTAAACAATGGCGCTGCAAATGAGTTTATTTAACCAACACTGTTGGTACGTGGAAATATCCGTTTTACGGAACCGAATATTGTGCTAAAAAACGGTAATGGGACGTTAAAGCGAAAAGTTTAAAAGCAAAAGAACGTAAAAACGAAAAGTTTAAAAGCGAAAGAACGTAAAAGCGAAAAGTTTAAAAAATAACTGGCCGTTTAAAATATAACTGGCCGATATGATGGCGCATAAAAGAGATAAAAGTTTAAAATATAACTGGCCGATATGATGGCGCATAAAAGAGAACTACTTCGAACTAAACTTTTTGTGTGAAAACAACTAGTTTCACTTTTTATCATTGGTGTAATCACTCAACTTTTACAATTTGTTTTGGAGCAAAATTCTAAACAATTAAATTTTGCTTTATCTTCTATAAAGTATAAACTTAATGAACTTATTTCTGAAATTGAATCACTGCAACTGTAGCACCTTTAAGATGATACAATTCAAAGAAAAAAAAACACTGTCTTCATTAATAATTAAGTTGTCAAAGTCCCATGAAGAGTTCCATGCTTTTAATCGATTTCTCTAAATCTATAAAAATACCTAGTCTTCTGTCTTATTCTTGTCCTAGAA